GGGCGTTCAAAGTTGTTATGGCCAACTATCTGCAGGGGAGATCGTAGGTCACGTGGTTGGACTCGTGAAGAGGAGTATTGAACAAGTGAAGCAAGTAGTGTGTAGTAGTGTATACCAAAGGGACTGTTGGAATAACTAATTGAGTTGAACGCAGGACTTCCTAGTGAAGACCTGCCTACCTATATACTTGGTGGTCACATAGCAAATGTCGTTCTCTGTTCTCTCTGTATTCTCTGTCGTAAATTACAGAGAAGGAGAGAGCAGAGAACCCTGCAGCAGGCTGCAGTGTTCTCTGTCCTCTCTGCTCAATCCTTCGGCTTGGCGGGATAACACAGAGAGCAATCCCAATAGAGTAATGATCGTCAGTGGCACGGGCCTGATACCGGTGTGTTAAACAACGGCCCGTAACATATAGAGCTAGCTTAAACTTAAAGACCTTATCCTTTTCTTAAGGTTATTAAGCTTAAGCCTAAGCCTTCTATAGACTATAGAGCGATAGTATAATTAATCTAGCCTCTCCTTATATTTTCTCTTAATTTTAGTAGATCTATTAATTTATACGTTATTACTCTAACTCTATATTAGTAGGGGCTAGAAAGACCTTTTAAGCGTAAGAAGTAGCTAGTAAAGATAGTATAGCTTAGGATAGTAGAGCTTATAATATAGTATAGCGCTCTAGAACACTACTATTAGTAGGAACTATAGTAGCTATATATTTACGTTTATCTAGATTATAATAGAGGTATTAGAGATAGAAGTTAAACTATATAAGAAGAGGTAGGTATAGTTTATTATTTTATATATAAATATTAACCTATATAGGTATATAGTCTAGATCGAGTATAGGTATAGCGAATAATAGTAGGAAGAAAGTTAGAGTAATTTAAGAAAAGAATTTATAGTTATATACTTATAAGTAGTAAGTAAGTTACTACTATAAGTTATAAAGATTATAATCTAAACTATACGAGACGCTACGAGTTAATATAAGTTAATATTACGAGTTAAATTTGCTATATAAGTTACCTTTATAAGTCGCTACTATAAGTTATATAAGTTAATACTATAAGTCTATTCTTAAGCTATAAGTCCTCTATTTACTATTTATTCTACGTCTTATAATATATTAAAATAATATAATAGATTAAGAACATTATAATTAGTAGCGTTAAATGCCTTAATAATTACTCTATTAGCTTACTAGTTATAAGCGCCTTATAGCTTCTCTAACTCGAGCATAATTAGCTCTTAATTTATTAAAATATACTAGATAATCCTTTTCTAAAGGAACTTATAAGTATAGTAGTAGATACGATTAACGCTATTATTACTAAGGACGCTACTATCGATATCTCTATTATTATTAAAAGCGTAAAGAGGGAACTCTTACTAGAGCTATTATCGACACTATAAAAGGATATTAGGTAGAAAATATTTATTAGTATTATATCCTTTAAGGTACTATTTAAATAATCTAAGTAGCTCTAGATCTATAGGAATACCTTATTATATATATCCCTTAAGCTCTAGATAGTTATAGTTAATCTTTAGGGAGCCTTTAAGTTTATTCTCCTACTTTCGAACTTAGTAGTTATTCTAACGATGTACGAATTTTATAGCACTACATTATATAATTAGGATATAAATAGTAAGTAGTATAATCCTATTAATAGTAGAGTCCTTATTATAAAGCTCCTTAAGAAGAAGCTACTTAAAAAAGAGTCGCTAGCGTATAAGAGCCGCTATATAAGAATTAGTAGAGGTTTATCTATATAAGTTACTACTATAAGTTACTATAAGTTAGAAACTTACATTTTAAGACTTATCCCTACTATACTTCTATTCTCTAATTCTACTTACTAGTACTAAACTTAAAGTAATCTAAGAAGGAGAGCTTACTATAAGCGTACTATAATAGAAGGTAGTATATATTAGTATATATTATAGTCTTAAGACCTCGGTCTATATAGAGGTATTTAGGTATCTTTCCTATTACTTTAACTATTTTAATATATTACTTAAGGATAGATACTATAGTATATATAGATATACTAATATAGATCTATATAATATAACGAGAGAAGTAATTAATAGTAGTATAGACCTCTATACCCTAGAATTCTAGTTTATAGTGCATATCTATAGACTATAACTAGTCTAGCCCTAGACTATTATACGCTACATGGTGCACGAATTGTCTTTTCTAGCGTCTTTTAAAACCTTTGTTACGATCCTGCTAATGACAGGGTTGCATAGCCTGCTCTGTTGTTCTCCGCATCTTGGCACAACAGAGCACTCTACATAAACACGCCATCTGCTCTGCTCTGCTCTGCTGCTCTGCTCTACAGAGCACAACAGAGCACATAGAGCAACATGCATACACTCATTACCTATTAGGTATATAGGTAGGCAGGAACTCACTAGGAGGTCCTGCGTTCAACTTAATTAGTTATTCCAACAGTCCCTTTAGTATACACTACTACACACTACTGCTTTACCTCGCTTAACACTCCTCTTCACGAGTACAAATCCCGTGACTAGTTATTCTCCCTAGAATAGTTGGCCATAACAACCTTCTAGTATAATAGAGCATATAATATAGTAGACTCGTTCTCTATAATAAGAAATAGAAGTTAGTCTTAAAATTTATAAATAGCCTTTATAAGTCGCTACTATAAGTTATATAAGTTAATACTACGAGTCTATATATACCTTCTAATAATATAGTATTATTTATACTTCTTACGTAGATAGTTATATAGATGACCCTTACTATAGTCCTCTACTTTACTAGAAGAATACTCCTTTATTAAGTACTCTTAAATAGCTACCTTAATCTTCTAATTAGAGCCCTCTAGTAAAAGGCGCTTTAATAGACGTATCTTAAGTCTCCTTCTCTTAATAGTGTATTTAGTTATAGGGAAGCTATTAGCTATAAGGATTTTAGTAATATAGTCGTCTATAAGGTAGTGTTAAAAGAATAGATTAATAATAGTAGTATTAATAGTGTCTTTATTAATAGGTAGTAGTCTTATAGTTATGCCCTAGCCTTAAAGCCTTTACTTAAGCATACTAATTAAGATATTAATCCTATAGTCGTATAGAAGGTTCTTACGTATACGCTTAACTTAGACGCTATTAGTAATCTATTAGTAGATAGCTTTATAGTGTAGGTCGAGGTTAATTAAAGGAGGAGGCATTTTTAGAGTAGAAATTTCTGTGAATTTTGCGAGTATAGTGCGAGTCCCTATTTAAGTCGAAATTTTAGAAAATCTAGCCCTATAGTTGGTACTCGGAACTTACAAATCCTTGTTATGACCCCTTACTCCCTCTAGCCCACGGTCTAAATACTGCTTTGTCGATCGCTTTAAGAAAATGCAAACCAAGCTCTTAGTCAACTAATAGAAACACGTTCGGAGGCACGACCGAGGAAGCACATTGGCGAAGGGAACTACGACACAAACGATCCCTGCCTCGGACTATAACCCCTCCCATACTGTAGGTATTCGCACTATCAATCTAAAGGCGCCTGTCCGAAAAGAGATAAATATGGACATGAAAGACGACTCATATACATGGCTTGGTTATGCGCAAGCCTGCATGTTCTACCGGTGGCCCCATCCCTCCAATTGCACAGCCGAATCCTTCATTTAATATGTGATATGCAACAAGTCACAGCAGCGGCACGCAAGTCCGCTGTGCAGGTAGCCAACCAAAGCTGCTTGAGAATGCCATGTAGGTGGACCTGTTTCCGGGGTCATCGGTATTTGCTTTCGGGTGGTCCGTTGGCGGTCGCATACCATGAGTGGAGGAGGAATGGGGAGTATATGCCGTGCAAGCACTTAACCGATGAAAGCTCATACACGGTATACGGAGGACCGTCAACGTCCTCGATCTACCCTTCTCGCATAGCGACACTCGGGAGTGTGACCTCTTGATATGCATAATTGATTCCCAGTGGCCATGGACATCCTCAGAGATAAGATTCTTCTATCCTACACTACTCCGTTTCAGAAAGTACATGTAGTCCGTTCAGCTACAAAGTAACAATGCTGAAAAGAGCTGGACAGGGAATCCAGATTCCCCATGTAACTCAAAGATGCCAGCAAAACTGGAACTGGAACAGCCACAAATCACTGGCTGATAGCGGTTACTTGTGCATGACTCTTTCGTATGATTGACGTTGGAAGCAGCCCCCAAGAAGGATTTGAGCAAGAAACCGAGGTATGCAGTAGTTCCGCAGACCGCGGAGAAGATTTCCACACTGCATGGCGCTGAGACGGTAGTGCCACAGCCCACAGGCTTGCAAATCGCTCCATCTCAAACTCATGATGCATCCGCTCCGCTGGCAGCGATTCGGCAAACCCACCGGAACCTAATGTCCTATACGAGGAATGGTCTCCGTGAGCATGGTATTTGTTATTAGCGCTCTGATGGCCTACCAGGATGGGTAAGGTTGGTGCCGCAGATGCAAGTTGCACACTCCACCTGCACGGCGTGACGCGAGCAAAACGCAACAATCGGCATGCCCGTGCAACCACTTAGCCGGCGAAGCACATGCCAACTCGAAAGTCAAGGATAACACTCTTATCGTGCACATGGAAAGCTTGGCCAGACTCGCGGGGCGAGACGATAACATGGATGAGCTTAGACGCGTGTTCAGACGTTGGAGAGCATTCGGAGAGGAAAAAGAGACAAACAGTGCTGGATTTTTGTACATGAAAAGAAATTGAAGACCAAGAAGCACCACAGGGCAACAAGAGTAAGTTAGACAATTATGGAAACTGGGAAGTTCAACGTCAGAAACGCGTAACTTTTCCCGGACCTCGTCTATTTCCTCGCTCTGTCTACCCTTGGTGAGGAAAGACATGCCGGACCTTTCGCAATACGACCAACTGATGTAATATCTACCATCGCTCCCCGGCTCCTCATTGCAATGCCAAATCATGAGTGTGATCCGAAGTGAGTAGTAGATCACGTCAACGATGCATACGACCATGTTATTGTCTGGCAACACCAGCAGAAACAGGTCTTGGGCTGGCCTGCTGAACAACGGGGCTTTGTCGCTGCATCGCCGACGGCGTTTGTTGCAGCTGTGATCCTGGCTGAGGCGTACCTGAAGCCGCGGCCCCTTGACCGCTACCCATCCTTGTCATCTGAGGCGTGGGCGTACGGTTATTGGCGTTGAGAGGCATACTTTGCGCCGGGTGAGCAGAAGCCATGTTCGGACTGGGGACCGCCATGCCCGGCACTGGACTGCCCTGTGCTACCCGCGGGCTGCCGTTGTTCTGTACAGAGGGATTTTGAAGTTGCATCTGACTCTGTTGAGCCAAAACGCGTTGTCGCATACCGGCAGCGTACTGTTGTGCAGTCGCATTGCCTGCATTGCCTGTCGTGTTATTACCATTGGTATTGAAGGCTGTGTGTTGACCATTGCCATTGTTCTGGTGGAAGGCTGCTTGGTTTTGGCTATAAGCGGGCGAGCCGTTTGGCGCGATATTAGCGGCATGCGTTCCAGCAGCGGCGCTGAGCGCACTTTGGCGAGCTTGCTGATGAGATTGCTGGTGCTGTCCTTGCAAGTGAATGTGTCGTAAGCGTTCGGTCGCCATTTCCTGAATCTTTTCTGCCGAGGCTTGCGGGAACTGCGCTTGAAGCTGGTGAGTGATTGATGTGATGTTCGGGACAAGTCCACTGGAAAGTTGCTGCGGTTGTTGCGATTGGTTTGTCGGAGTCGGTGGTGGAGGCATGTGCGGCGAAGCAACCGTGTTGCCATTTGGGGTCGACTGATGGGGTTGAACTTGGGGACCAGGAGTACGGACGTTTTGCATGCTGTTTATTGCGGACTGGTTACCCACCCCACCGGGAGGATGCATACCTCCAGGACTTGCGCGATTTGGTGGCGCCATCTGGTATTGCTGACCATTCATCTTTAGTTGATTGGCCCTCTGGGCTTCGAGCACTCTCTGCTGCATCCCGTCTGGTGTCCCATGAGCTTGACCATTCGCCACAGGGCGCATGTTGGGTTGCATCTGCGCTTGTGGTATACCTCCGCGCATGCCCATTTGTGGAGTATTGAGATGCGCGCCTCCTTGCGCAGCAGGATTAGGATGTTGACCATTGGGCAGACCTTGGTGGTTGACCTGTTGTGGCCCACCAGGTTGTGTCTGAGAGCTTTGTGGATGAGGCATGTTAGGTCCGGTACGGTTGTGAGCATTGACATTGGGATGAGCTTGCTGGTTCGGCATTTGTCCATTGCGTTGCATTTGAGCCTGCTGTATAACTTGTAANGCACTTTCAGGTGACTGGACAACAATATGACATACGCGTTGTTGCACGAGCATTTGCTCCCTGTAACGTTCTTGTCGTGCGTGAACCTGGACATCTCGCTCCTGGCGCATCTTACTAAATTCCTGAGGAGTAGGAATGCCGTTCTTAGGTGCTGCATTTTCGTGTTGCTTGCGCATGTGTGCAGCTTTTTGGGCTGTCGTGCTTGTCAGTCCCGGTTGCATCAAGTTTGAGTGAGAAATCCCACCTTCAGCCTGCTTGTGGGCCTGTTGCTCCCGTTTTCTAGCCAGTTTTCGCATCGCGTCCACCATGTGCAAGTATCGGTTCTGCCTACGTTTGTCGACTTTGAATGGCGTCGTCTTCTTTCGCATAATTGTGGGAGGCTGCCCTGGAGTCTGTGCAAGCTGTGCCATTTGTTGTTGGTACTTGGCTTCATTGTTCCTGTTAGCTCCCTCAAGTCGCTGGTTCCAAGTCTTGAAGTAAAGAGTTTTCCGCATCTCGTTAGGAAGGCTTTCCAGCTCCACCCAACGCTCAAAGCACTCCCAAGGCGTACGTCTATCGGATGCGCTAGTGAATCTGGATGACAGTGACAGATTGTCTGCAATGAGAGACCAGTTGAATGAGTACTCCTTTGCAAGACGGCGTAGAGCTTGTTGATCTTCTTCTGTCCATTGCGATGCCGTTCTGAATTCGTAGAACTGCGAAGATGGCATCTGAAACTCGGATGGAGGCCGGAATGCGGTATTCTGATGCAGTCTACTTCGCAGAAGCTTGTTCTCGGGCTCGAAGAGGGCGACGTCTGTCTGCTCAGGTCGCAAGCCTGAGTCATCTTGACTTGCCCGTGGCCTCTTCGTGGCAGGCAGTGAGGTTTCGTCCACAATATCGTCCTCATCGCTGTAATCGTATCGGCTTCTCTTCTTTGGCGGACCACTAACATCAATCATCATTTTAGCCGCACAGAACTTTGATACTGCCGGGGTTGGACGTTTAATGGTCAAATGGGCAGGACTCTCTTCCTCATCGAAAGGCGTCAGTAGTGGGAGCTCGGCAAGAGCGCTGTGCAAGTCCTCGTTGTCTTGCATATGGAATGTTTCCTTATCCATGTTGATAGCAGAGAAGAAAGATGATGGAACTACAGTGGCGTACTGCGGTGTCCTCGGCATGTCAAAGTCATCAACACTAGATTCGACATCGTTGTCCAATCCTGGTGGCGACTGGGCTCCTTGACTGTGTCTATCACTGTTTGCAAAACTGGACTCGGCGGGAGAGTGTAGAGCTGCTGTATCCTGGCGTAGCGCCTCGATCGATTTGAGTTTGACTTGCATCGACCTCCGGGTTTCTTTATCCGCATTGTACCACTCTGTACACTGCTCCGCAAAGAACTTGGCTGTTGCTCTCTTCATCTTGCGCTCTTGACGGAAGTCAGTCCTCATCCATTTCATTTCGGCCATGAGATGGTCCATGTGTGTTTTGGGGGCAGCTGGCTCAGCACAAGGTTGCATCTGCCTCAGGGACCAGCGATTCGCATTTTGTAGTTGATAGATCCTCCGAAGTATACGTTGATCCTGTCTCTCATGGTATCCAGCAAACTGCTCAGTAGTGGTCACGGCCTTACTGGCTTTTTGCAAAAGCTCATGCAAGGGTCTGCCATTGGGAGGATCGTGGACCTGTATACGGTACAGCGGCTCCAGATAGTCCCTTGTGAGCTCGGCGGACACACCCTTGAGAGCGTTGTAGCCCTCCTTCTTCATGAGTTCGGAGCATCGTAGCGAGACGGGTGATTGCGGCTCATCTTTGATTGCTCGTTGGCGTCTTACAACCGGCTGCTCTGTTTTGACCTTCAATACCTCCCCCNNTGTCGTGTGAGCACGCTTGGAAGCGAGATGGGACGGCCTTGTCAATTCTTTCACTTCCGAAGTCGATTGAACGTGGACGGGACCTGAAGTCTCGACAACAGCATTGGCAAGCGCAGGATCTCTGGGCGGCATAATGTTGACAAGGGATGGTCGAGGGGCTCTTTTCTTTTGCGTAGAATCAGAAACTGAATCGGAAGGTGATGTCGAATAAGGCTGAACCGGCGCAGTAATTTTGTTTCCTTCACTAGCTGACATTGTTGCGTTGACATTATTGGACGAATCAATAGTAGGAGGCTTGGCATTCGAGGAAGCATCTCTAGTCGCCTTTGCCGCTTGTTCCTGCTCAAGACGCAGCTGCACATCAGGAGAGTCATCCTCGTGTCCCAGTGCTTCCTGATACGCAATTTCTTTNTGCGATTGTAATAGCTTGTCGTGTTGTTCCTTGGCAAGAATTTCCTCAGTGGATGGCTGTAAGCTAGGAGGCTTGGCCACTGTCTGGTTTGCAGATGTGGTATCCTCGTCAGTACTGGTCAGTGGGGAAGGACCAGCGGGCAGAGGGGTAGCCATGGAAGGAGCACCAGCAGTGGATGTCGGCGATGACGCGGCTTCGCCTTGAGGTTTGTCAGGTTCGGCAGCATCTCTCCGGCGTGCTTCCTGACGCAACTGCTTCTCACGAAACCGTTCTTCCTGGACTTCCTTGGGTGGTAGATGGACGGTACGTGGTCGATGCCTTTGGTTGTCCCGAGCAGGCGGATTGACTGGAGAACCATCAGAAGCCCGCGCAAGGTCTGCATTGTCCAAAACAGGATGATCTTGTGGGCTTGCGATAGTGTCTGAGTTAGTGATAGGAGCCGTGGCATGAGATTTCCGACCAATGTTTCCAGAATCAATCGAAGGAGGCGCATCTTGACGAGCCAGAGCTTTAATTGCGGGATTCTGTTCTATGGCGTCCAAGGAGCAAGGCAACAACAAGTCCTGAAAACGGAGGCCTCTATAAAGCAGAAGAAGGATGAGAAATGAACAATTAATTCACCAAGTGTAACTACTTACTTTNTCTAGGTCGGCGGCATTAAGCAGAACATCTTCAGAAGGAGTGTGAGGAGGAGAGGGAAGAGAATCAAAATCGAGGTTGAGGGCAGGAGGGAGACCACAGTGTTGGGTGATGGACTGGGTGATTTGGTTCAAAGCGCGCAGGCGGGCAGCTCGCTTGGTCAAGGATGCNCCTGCGAAAGACCAGTCAGCACAACTCGACAGCCACGCGACAGAAAAAGTGTTGGAGCGATTTTCTGGATTTGAAACGCGCAGGCGAAGCGATTGATATAAAGTGCGCCCGTAAAATGTGCAGATCCAAACTTACGCTCTGGCAGTCCTGCGTTCATTAAGCGGTCCATCTCGCAATTGTGCTAGGGACATAAGTTTCGCGGCGTCGCATTCACAGCACCAGTCTCTCAGCGAAGGAAGACAGGTGTGGGAATGGATCGATGAAAATTGAAGGTGGATATGTTGCGCGATGGGGGCTGTTACAATGGCGAGGTGTGCGCGCGAGGCGCCTCTGAGAGCGCGTCAACCAAACGCCAAGTCTGCATCATCCCAAGCTTTCCAGACTCCCCAAACTTTCTACTTTTTTCCTACCAAAAATTCAGCTCGACCACATCATCCCGGACAACACACTTCACAATGGTCAAGAGAAAGAGCGAGGATGCACAGCTGAGTGCTCGTGCCACCAACGGAAAGAATGCCAGATTTGCAGAGACAGCCAAACCCACCAAGCCCGCAAAAAAGTCCGCATTAAAGCCAACAAAGGCCTCCACCAAACCTGCTGTCGCAACCAACGACCCCAAGTCCGATTCGAAGTCCAGGTCCCTTTCTATTCAGGTCGTCACTGGATCGTACGAGAGAGTTCTCCACGGTTTCGCTGCCACCGTCTCTGAGAAGGCATTCGACTCTGAATTGTCAGAGGAAGAGCAGGAAGAACCCACATACTCAGATACCTTCTTGTTCGCTGCTCACTCGAGCGCTGTCCGCTGCCTGGCCCTCTCAACCCCCAACGAGGCACACAAGCGAGTGCTTGCGACCGGCAGCACCGACGAGCGCATCAATCTTTTCAACCTCTCGACCAGCCCACCACTTGCCAGCGACAAACCTCAACTTCCCAACCTCTCAGCTACTAGCATCGTTGAGAACCCCCGGAACAAGGAACTCGGCAGTCTGCTACATCATGCGCGCAGCGTCAACAAGCTTCAATTCCCTACCAGAGGCAAGCTTTTTAGTGCAGCCGACGACAACACTGTCGCCATTTCGAGAACTCGCGATTGGACTGTGCTATCAACGATCAAGTGCCCCATCCCGAAGGCCGTGGGACGACCTAGCGGAGATACTGCTGGACCAGGAGAAGTACCTACCGGAGTCAACGACTTTGCTATCCACCCTAGCATGAAGGTTATGGTTACCGTGGGCAAGGNNGGGGAGAGATGCATGAGACTGTGGAATCTTGTGACTGGCAAGAAGGCTGGAGTCTTGAATTTTGACAAGAGTTTGTTGCAGGCTGCGGGCGAAGGCAGATACAGCAGTGGTGAGGGAAGGAAGCTTGCGTGGGGTGAGGATGGTGAGGAGTACGTCGTTGGTTTTGAGAGAGGAGCTGTGGTTTACGGCATGGTGAGTGATGCATGATATACTTGAGAACGCACTCGCGACTGACAGACACGGTAGGACTCGATGCCTAAAGCCATTATCCGACCATCACCCNCGACAAAACTTCACCAGATGCGCATCATACCCGCTGGTGAGGGACACAGCATCCTGGCAGTGTCAACTGAGGATGGCAGAATTGTTTTCTACGACCTGAAGACAACGATTGAGAGTGAAAAGGAGGACGAAGAGGTACCGCAGTGCGCGGCATTGGGACAGCTAGGAGGCAGGCAAGCTGGTTTCAGCGGCAGAGTCAAGGACTTCGAGGTGCTGCAGCACAAGGCAGGAGCACCTTTGACCATCGTGACGGGCAGCAGCGATGGCGCTGTCAGGTTGTGGAAGTGCGATATGTCGGAGATTTTGGAAGGTGCTGGCACGGAACAAGCAAAGGACGCGGTGCGTCAAATTGGCACGCCGATAGGCACGCACGAGACCGGGCACCGCATCACATGCCTGGTCGCATTCGTGATGGATGGCCCGGCGGAAGTGGCAGACGACGACGAGGATGATGTACAGGGCATGTCCGAAGAGGCAGGTAGTGATAGCGACGACGAATAGATAGCTAGAGATTAGCGATTCTTTGGATAAAGCATACGAGACAAGCTGATTGTTGATACTCAAAAGAACAATGTTGAGAGGCTCAAAGCAATTGAAGCATGTGAACAAGCATGTCATGGGCTTGGCGGTCGGCTGTGGCTGCCCTAAGCAGGCGGATACGAGACAGCGGGCAGAAGCAGAAGGTGCGGCAGTGCAGGGTCTTCTAGGCTTCCCAGAGCCAGTGACCTCGCGTAGGGTAATCTGTACATGTTTACCTGAATATCCTCTATACTCTGCCGCCCTCTCTTTGTTGTCACCGAGCCCACTTTCCTCCTCCTGCGATCAAATCACCCAGAAACCAGCGCGGCCATGTCAGGTAACCGCAGCGGCACATCACCGCAAACCATTGGCTCGGGTCCCCCACGTTCGACGTCCCCGTACGGCGGAGGCTCGCCGTCTCGTAGTTACTCGACCGCCCGACTCGCGAGTCCCGTTCCCTTCGGCACTCCTCCTATCAGACAAATCCCTACTCCGCGTCAGCTTGACGGTCAAGACGGCTCTCAGGATGGCAGCGAGCCTTTGCCCGGCGCCTCGTACCCTCGTGGCTCCATCCCCGGACCCGGTCCCTCATCGCTATCGCAAGCACTGAGAGGAGGTTTCGCAGGGAGCCCGCCTCGCTTCGCCTCTCCCGCTCCTGTCGGCTCAGCCTATCCCGATGATGCCTCGTCCTCGCAAAGTCCGAACAAGAACGAAGACCTCGAGGTCTTGCGCCGACACTTGGTTGGTCCCGCTCAACGCACCTCGCATCAAAACCTTCAAGTCTCTTCCTCGTTCCAACGCAACTCGAACCTTTCCGAAGTGGCCAAGTCCATCGAGAACGGTCCGGGTGTAGATGATGAGCACTTCTCAAGTCTGCAGTTGCAGGGTGGAGACATGACGAGACACATCTACCGCTATACCGAAGAGCGCGAGCGCGAAGAGGTAGAACGCCAGGCTCGTGAAACTGGCCGTCTAAAGAGAAGTTTGAGCGTCAACCTTCCTCGTCCGAACGAGGACGATCCAGAGCTTACGAATATCAAAATGCCTGGCGGTCTGCGTCGAGACTACATCCGCCGAACTGCCGCCTCTCCTGCCCCTGAGACACGGATTTCGAGGCCCAACTATGGCTCCACCCGTGCTCAGACTGAGCCTCCTGCTCGCCAGCAACCTCAGTTCTTGGCCAATAACTTCATCGAATTCCTCACTCTTTACGGCCACTTCGCTGGTGAATCGCTCGAGGATGATGATGAGGTTCTTGGCCCTGACGAATACTTCACATCCGAGAACTACGATGATGAAAACGAAGATCAAGATGGTGAAGAACGTGAGTGGGGTGAAGATAGTGCTTTATTGACTCCCGGCAAGCGCAAGAGAAGAAGAAAGGAGCAGGCTGGCAAGGGTAGCCCTGGTGGTGCCGCTCTGCTTTTGCTCAAGTCTTTTGTTGGAACTGGAGTCTTGTTCTTGCCCCGTGCTTACCTCAATGGTGGTATGATGTTCAGTAACCTCGTTCTACTGGCTATTGCTCTGCTCAGCTTCTGGTGTTTCATCCTACTCGTCAACGTTCGCCTGAAGGTTCACGCCTCCTTTGGTGATATGGGCGGCAAGATCTATGGACGATGGTTCCGTACTCTGATCAACTCGTCTCTCGTCATCAGCCAGATTGGTTTCTCCTCGGCCTACATCGTCTTTGTTTCGGAAAACTTGCAGGCTTTTGTTCTGGCTGTGACAAAATGTCGTACCTTCATCGACATCAAATACATGATTCTGATGCAGATGGTCGTGTTCCTGCCTCTCAGCTTGTATCGCAACATCAACAACATCCAGAAACTCGCCTTGATTGCCGATTTGTTCATCGTTCTTGGTCTCGTCTACCTCTACTATTATGACATCTTGACATTGGTCAACAACCACGGCATAGCCGACATCATCCAGTTCAACAAGGATGACTGGACACTGTTCATCGGTACTGCCATCTTCACTTTCGAAGGTATTGGCCTCATCATTCCTATTCAATCAGGCATGAAAGACCCTAAGAAGTTCCCTCGTGTCTTGGGTGTCGTCATGATTGCAGTCACTGTCGTCTTCATCTCCATGGGCGCTCTTTCCTACGCAGCCTATGGTAGCGCAACTAAAACTGTCATCATCCTCAACATGCCCCAGGACAACAAGCTTGTCAACAGCGTACAATTTATCTACTCTCTGGCCATCTTGCTCTCCACTCCGCTGCAAATCTATCCTGCCATCGAGATCACATCTCAACAACTTTTCAGCCGCACTGGCAAGTACAACCNNCCTTGGATAAAATGGAAGAAGAACGTATTCAGATTCTTTATGGTCGCACTTTGTGCCGTCATCGCATGGGCTGGTGCTGGACAGCTTGACAAGTTCGTCGCACTCGTAGGAAGTTTCGCGTGCATTCCACTAGTCTTCGTTTACNCCTGTAAGTCAAGCCTTCTTGTCTCGTTGTGAATTCTCTACTGACTATGACAATAGCCCCTTATGCACTATCGTGCCGTTGCAACTCGTTCGTGGCAACGTGTCGCGGACATTCTGCTCGTCATCTTCGGCCTCTTCATCATGGGCTACACCACGGCGCTTACGGTGATGAGTTGGGCATCCGGAGGTCCCAAGGAACCAGGATATTGTGACGAGAGATAAGCGATAGCGCATACTCTTCTTCTCGCACAATACTGAATAGCCATCTCTGGACATTCTTCAACATCTGTACGGGCAGAGCCATTTCCCTTTGGATGAACACGTTTTTACTAGATGAGATTTTGAGTTACAGTATAGCCGAGGTGTTTGGGTTTTGTATAGAAGCACGTTGACATGTCTTGATTAGGTATATTTATGTTGTCTGGAAGGCAAATTTCATGTACATCAGGTGTGGTGCATTCTCTCTAATATCTTGATGTATTTGCCGATGTCTTGTCCTCACACAATGATCATGATGTCTAGGTATTGGAAGGACTGCTACCTCCCAATACGCCAAAGCATGTGCCCTTGATCAGCAACAACACGAGGCGGTATCGTCTACGAAAGGCACGGACATCCTCAACCTGGAGGCATGACCAGAGAGCTGGCAGCATATCACTCACCAGTGGGGCCCCCTATTTCTCATCTTGCATTTTCGGAGTTACATGTGGTCTGGTTCCCCGTCTCTTTATTCATCGAAAAGCGCGTAGGGCTGGCACATGGCGATACCAGTACGAGCAGGGATGGTAATACTGATTGGATAGCCTCCGTAATCAGGATCCTCGCTCGGCATGATTGCGAACTTGCCACTTTGCGTCTCGTCTCCGTTCAAAAGACGGACCTTTCTCAATGCTCCAGTTCTTGCGTCGTCAACATCCATCTCTTCGAATTTAAGGATGCCATTGAAGTGGGCTTTGGAACTTTTGTGTTTGAAATTGACTTGGTAGCCCCAGCCGAGCAGAAGAAAGCGATCTTCTCCTGTCCAGATAATCATGCCTGATCCAGCAGAGGGATGGCCGAATACAAAGGATCTCTCGATCAACAGGTTCCAGTCTCCTAATGTGGCTGTGACTTTCGACGAGGGGTCTGAACCATCTGCAGCCAACTCGGCGAAGAAGAACCCCACGCTGGCATTGTCCTGTGCCTGAGCAGTGAGAATGTGATGCTTCATCTTGGCCAACAAGCCATAATGCTTTCTGAAGGGACTCAGCATGGGATCCACAGTCTCACAGCCAAACGGTGAAGCCCCCAGACATGCGTGGGAGCCAAAAGCAGTCCAGATACACAAAGCACCGTACTCATCGCGCCGCTGCTCTGGGATAAACAAGGGTTGGTTGTTGTGTCGATACAGCCTGCACGAGGTCGCGTAGTCGTTGAGGTATATGTCCGGAGCGATGAAGTCGAGTGAATGTGTGAATGCTTGCCAGACATCCAGGACATCTACCACGCCTCCGCCAGATGGATAATCGCCAGGTTCTGAGCCGCCTCCTGCGACGGGTGGTGTACCGGTATCTGTATCGCTGTCTATGATGTTCTGCCAGACATTCGTGTATAAAGGCAGAGGGTAGACTGACTTCCCAACAGCAGCCACTTCATCCAGGTATAATGCATAGTGGTAAGCCATGAACAACTCATCAATGCGCTTAGGGTTGCCAGGTAAATCCTTCCACGTCATGCCTTCACGTAGCGAACATTGTCGAAGCTCTCCAAGGTTACGTTGAAAAGCATCTGTAAAGCTAGACCAGTCTCTCCCAAGGAAGTCACGGACCTCATCAGGCAGTGGCGATGCAAACCGTGCTTCGGCGAGTTGGCTGCGATCCCTCGAGTCGCCTAAACAACCAGGTTCGTTCTCGACCTGCACCATGATAACAGTAGAGTGATGTTCGTCAAAGTTCTTTAGGTGTTGCATAAGTGTTTTGAAAGCCTTTGCATCAGCTTTCTGTGCTTCGGTCCCGAAGATTGTGAGGACATCGCCGGTTGTAAGACTTCCATGTGCACTTCGCAGCTTCATCCTTGGGAATCTTTTGGGATCTTGCTTGACCCAAGGTGGTGTGTAAGTGGACAGGCCTATACTTCTTGTTACTCCCGCCACTTCCAATTCTAAAAACTATCGTGCATCTCTATTTTGGCACTCAAGAAGACAGCATCACTTACCATTCTTGAAACTGCCAAACCATAGCAGAACAACGTGTAAGCCATGTTTCCTGGCATCGAGTAAAACCTGATCAAGAGCCGTAAAGTCAAAGTCACCTTCTGTAGGCTCGATCTGATCCCAAGACACAGAACCTAGCACTGTGTTCATGTTCATAGTGGCCAGCTTGGTCCAAACATCCTTCATATATTCTGACGAGCTGAAGGACGAGTTTTGGAGTTCTCCAGCCAGCATGAGAAAAGGCTCATCCTTCACGATCAGCTGCTTCGAGTTGGCCGTTTGACGTAGGTGAGGTATGCGTGAAGTCGACATTGTTTCTGATAGACCACGAATTGTTTCGCATGCTGAAGCATCGGAAGATAAAGCTATATACCAAAATGGAGGGCTTACCGTTGTTATACCCACCGGCAGCTGTGGTCGGCTGATTGCATGACTCTTGTTAGATCATCTGCACGACAGGAAATCGTTCTGTCGCTATTTCGGCAAAGATGACTGGGTAAAGTAGGAACATGGGAAATGCGGAGCATGCTGCATCCACCGTCTTTCCCCCTCCTTCCGCCGATTGTTCCTTCCCGAAGAGGCTAGAGTTTGTCGCTTGGCGGCTGTCAAGTTACACTCAAATACCCTCGTAAGATGATGCATTTTCTGAAATCGTTAACTAGCTTACATGCGCCGGGATGCATCTTTGAATGCAGTCTCCACGTCATGCTCATGAATCCATTCGGCATATGGCCGTGTCCTCAACTTCTCCCTAAGCTGGTCGTCCGTCTCTTCTTCTCCTCCACCCCACAATCGCTCGTTGTTCATACCGTACATCGCATGTGTCACTTTCAGGACCTTCTCGCAATGCGGTCTGCGCACAGCATCGTATAGTCTCAGGCTCTGCTCTAATTTCTCTGCTCCCAGTGTCAATCGCCCATCAGAGGATACCTTTCGGAGAAGAGACAGGTAGAGACAGTAAGCATCGTCGATCCCAAGAGAGGCGTTTGCAGCCAGTGCTCCTCCATGACAGTGTGCTGCATCGCCTACGAGCACGACTCGACCACCAAATTCGTATGTATCTAGGAAGCCGCCGTAAAAGTTCGGATAGGTGCGTACGTGAGGTGCAGCTCCAACGATATTCCTCACGACTGGGTGAAAGTCTTTGTACATGTCCCGAAGTGTGGCGGTGTCTGTTGTTTCGTCCCAATGTGTCTTTTCCAGCAGGTGTTGATTCTGGGAAGGGTCGACGTTGTGGAAAGCTACGATGCCGTACTTGCCTCTTCCCATTCTGGTTCCCAATATGCCGTCTTGAGAAGACCACNNTATTGATCAAAGTTAGCCGCGAACAGAAGTCGAGAAAGTGCAGTATACCCATTGTGTTGTATCTTCCGGTAAGTCTTCGACATGATCGAGTATTTTGATATCGAAAGCAGAGCGATAGGCAATCAATCCGGACCATTTGAGTTCAAATTCTGGAGCAAAGAAACCGCGAACGGCTGAGCGAATACCATCTGCACCAACAAGGAGGTCTGCATGTATGGTTGTGGTATCCTCAAACTCGACATCAACACCTTCATCCTGGATTTTGACGTCGACAACCCGTTTGTTGAGGTGTATAATCTCTCGAGGTAGGTACTCCAGTATTGTCTCCTGCAGATCTGGACGATAGAACCTAGTCATCTTATGCTTCTCTTCGACATGTGGCGTATGTTGCTCTCTTCCCACTATCTCATTTGTCTTCCAGTGTCTNGTGACCGTCAGTGTCTCCATATCGTCATGTTACACTATGACCCCTCACCTTAGTGTCTGTGGTATACCACTTGGACACCTACACCCCACTTCATCTGACAGCACCTTATGCAATCCCAGTTTCTCAAGCGTGCGAAGGCCATTAGGGTTTATCGCGATAGCCTGACCTAGCTCTCTAAGCTGTTTCGCTCGTTCGTATATTTGCACATCGACATTTGGAAGTTTGCGAAGCGCGATTGCTGTAGTAAGGCCAGTGATGCCTGGTGGTCGAGGTTAGTCAAGTTATAGTCTACAGATAACAATATACCATACCTGCGCCAATAATGGCGATTCGTAAGGTTGGTGTGTCCTTCATCCGTTTCAAGCAACCGCGGTCGAGAGCTTGGTTGTCCCACACGGATTGGGAAATTTGAGCATTGGGAGGGCGCTTCTTTATGTCCGTAAGAAAGGATCGCTTACTTATATGCGGCTCGTCGTATAGTAGGTGGGGTTACATTGCGAGCGCCATGCATAATTAAACTCACTGATTCGTTATGGACGATCGTTTCTGCCGACTGCAATCGCGTATATCGAGGCAAAAGAGATGCGGTTTCTGGTTCTATCAGATGCTTCATATTCGTGGGTATCAACCTCTACGTAAACCTCCCATCCCAAACCTGGTTCTACGCGTCATAAAACCAGACGGACGTCTTTAAAACAGAGGGCCACTTGCTCAACCTCCTAGACCGCCCGCCCCTGCTTTCTTCCCCTTGATATGTATGTATGGATCGATCGAGAAGAGAGAAAGAAAAGTCATGCCTCCATAGATATCATGCTGTGTAAAGTGGTACGAGAACCAGTATGGTCTCGGAGAAAGGAAATAACGCCGTGTGCGCCTTTTGAAGTTTTGATCGACCCCAGTCCGCTGGAAATGCAAGTTCAAAGGAGATTGAGAGACTTTTCGCTTAGACCGAGTACTTGGCCTTAGCACGGGTGGAACCAGCGTTGGCAGAGTCGGAGTGGCCCATGAATTCGACAGGCTCCTTATCTGTGACTTGAAGAACGCCCTTGAAGCGCTGGCCGATCTTCATGAGGATGGCCTGCGATTCCTGAGGGGTGCGCTGGGGCTGACCTTGCTTAGTGGGGTTGGCCTTGGTGCCGGCGCTGCGGGTCCAAAGACCAATACGGTAGAAGGCCTTGCGGATGTTGATAACGACACCCATGACTTCGTTGTCGTTGTCATCCTCAAGCTGCTCACCAATGGCAGCGAGCAGGACGTGCAACCAGATTTCGTCGTTGGCCTGGCGCTGCTTGAAGGTGTAGGACCAACGGCCACCGTGCTTGTTCTGAGGGTCTTCCCACTCAGGGCGGACACCCTGCTTGAAGAGGTGGTAATCGGACTTGGGGGCGAGCTCGGACGAGGGAGTGATGTTGTTCNNTACAAGGAGTCAGAGAGGATTGAATGAGAAAGTGACTGGGCGACAATTTACGTAGATGCCCCAGAACTCCTCAACACTGTTGAAGCTGATGACCTCCTTCAACAACTCATTCCAGTCTTGCNNTGCCGAGGGTTTTAGTATGGATGTGGCTGCTGAGTGAGACTGAGAGTCAAGTACCTTTCCGCTTGGAGGCTTGGTGAACCAGAGAGTCCAGGTGTGGGCAAGAGGGTGCTTGACGTTGAAGTTTTCGGGGTCGTGGAAGACAGTGACGACGTCGCCAGAGTTTGCGCTAGGAGCAGAGTCGGTAGCGGCATTACCACCCTCAGGCGAGATGGGGATGGTATCGAGAGGGACGGGTGATTGGACAACGTCGGCCATGATGAGATGTTGTTTGAAGATGTGGCGGGTGTTGATTGATGTAGTTGTCGTGATGCGGTGGTTCGATGTGTGACAGAGATGTTGTCGACAAGAAGCAGCAGATGTCTCGTGTCGGAACCGTGAATCTTGGTGCCAAACTGAAGGCGCTGTCCAAACTTCTTTCTTTCCGCGCGCGCGCAGATGCGAATGCGACGGAGCTTGCCGTCCGTGCTTTCCTCAACCAACAGCTGCAACTTCACTTGACGATTTCAACTGACTATTGTTCGAAGTATTTACTTGGAAGAATTGTTCGTTCCGTTTCAAAGAAAGAGAAGCGACTTTTCATGAGTTGGGTATCTTAAAAGGTAGTGGTAACAAAGGAGAGTGAAAACAACAGGAGAAAGTGTGAAGTCTCGCAGCTCGAGCTCAGTGCCAGTGCCAGTGCCAGGAGGCAGGAGCTTCAAATCATCTCCTCACAGCACCTGCTCATTGATGTATCGTTTCATGCCATCGAACTGTGTACGGCCCGTCGAGATGAGATAACGGATGTGTCCAATATCTTGCACATCTCTATGCCTCTCGAATTCAGTGCGCGCATAGTCTCGCATCTCTCTCTTCGTTGGCGACCCAGGGATTTCTTGACACGATCAGTCGCCGAAACAGATGGCTTTGGTTTTGGTAGACATACTGCTGATGGCTCGCATGATCTCACGCCACAGACTCAGCGCCTTCTTCTTTTGCATGAACNNTTTTTCTCGTCGTCAGCCACTGCCTATCCCGCACTGAAAGGAGGGCGGGCGTACATGTTCCAGCGTCAAGACATTCTTTCCTCGGAGCAGCGACTTCTGTGTTGCTATTCTCGCCCATAAACTTGCTGTTTGCCGCATCATGTCGAATGTGGGTTCATAGTTGTTGATGTCGTATACATTTTGCGGAGCATGAATTAAAAAAAGTCCAGCCCTCGGGAGTCTTCGGATGACGACACGAAACACGAACTGAACACCATCGCGTCTTCCAGCAGAATTTCTCTAACGCAAACACACTTCACTTTCAAGCATGACAAGTGCAGCAACGGAGAGGGAACTCGACAAGTGGAGATTATGGGGTATCAACAAGTTCCTCGAATCATATTCTTCCCTGTCACTGAAGCAGGAAAGAACGNACGATCCTCCAACTCTTGGTCTAGTCGGATCGATATGCCACAAAAGCGAGGATGAGGTCAAAGAACTCTTAAAAGACGCCCGCTCTTCACTCAAGGACATGGACATCAGATGGGCCATATTTGGAGCTTGCGAGTTTCTCAATCAAGTCCCATTGCGAACTTCCAAAGAGAATGGGCGTGTGCTACTCAAGCATAGCGACGTTNTTCACACATTCAGGAAGAAGGAGTCTCAGGGCATCAAGCTGCATACTGAAGCTGCTGATGCTTATTTGCGTTTTATCAAGGTCAGGAAACTCAACAATCTGCCAATGCCTCGATTTACCAAAAATTACATGCATGCGGAATCGATGGAGTACACACCCAGATTTGGCCAAGGATCAGGACTGGACGCTGGCGCCAGCTTACCAGTGTTTGATATCCTTCTGTTTACAAGCTCCGACCTTTTCAGGCAGGTTGGTGCAGAGACGACAGAGCTTATACCGAGGGTTCCAAGGACACTCTTCGAATTGATCAAACATACAAGCTACGAAGACTATCAAGCAAGCAGTCAAGGCTGGGACGACGAGAACAAGCTAGCTGAGATGGAGGATGATGATATGCGCTACCTAATCGTTCGACTTAAAGATGCTCAATTGCCCGAATCCGAGAAGCGATGGAGCAAAGATTCAGACCTGGACGAATCAATCATCGGCTTTCTGTCGTTCATGATCACTCAAGAAGAGGAAGAGAATGTCGTCTACATCTACGAAATACACATCTCCGAGCACTTCCGGAATTGTGGTGTAGGACGACATCTCTTCAACATGGTCGAGCACATTGGTGGAGCCACTGGTATGGACAAAGCAATGCTCACTGTCTTCAAACGCAATGCGCACGCGCGAAGATGGTACGACTCACGCGGGTACGAGGTGGATGAGATCAGCCCCAGACCAAGGAAACTTAGGGGAGGGAGATCCATCGAACCTGATTATGAGATTCTGAGCAAGCATCTCCAGGAACAACCAACCAAGAAGAACAAATTATGATACTGTTACTGCTAATGATCTGCTGAGTGCTATCGGCTCCTTCAGTGCCAACCAGCATGATGCATATACGACCTCGACGTAGGAGATTCTCCACTCCGTGGATGGTTGTAGGCGGTTCGTCAAAATGGTCCATGTTTTCGATGATTGAACTCCACGGATAACCTGCGCTCAGTGGGTCGATAAGAGTAGCGGCTAGACAAAATGGTATAGCGCATCACTAACCAGAATCCTACACCAAAACCTTCTCCTTGTAAGCGGAGCCAGCTCCTCTTGTGATCGACGATATATAACCCAATCGGATCTAGCACCTACAACGACAAGTACGTCTCCCAGAGCCTCTTTGCTTTTGATCCCTGAACACGTGAAATCATCGAGGATCACAGGATGCATGTTCGCAAGGCAACCCCAGGCACCTGTTTTTCAGCCGCGCCTATCCTCGGCTGTATTCTCACCCCATTGGCGTCGTCGTCAGTGTGGAGGCTCCTGGAAGGCATGTCTCCTGTTCTTCACGGCAGTTGATAGATCCATGTGCACGCAACAATTAGTTCGTAATCACCGCTGCGGACCAGTCATAGACCGGCCGAAGTGACTATCACATTGATCAATCTGGTCGCGCACCTCGGGCTTCTGCGGTACTGTAAACCAGTTTACTCCATCAGTCAAACCTTAACAAGGTGTAGTCAGACATGACCCTATCAGTAGCGTTCCTCAGGTATCTTGCTCCATCGCCACCACGAATGTCACGGACCGGCTTCTAAACGACGGCGAGAAGAACGAGGTCTGTACATGGGTATTCGGTATATAGAGTTTCGAGGGCGTGAGTAGCTGATGTCTTTTCCGTCTGTCATACTATACACCTCTGGCATGCTTGTAGAGTCGCAGGGATGCTACAGAGCGTTCTACGCTCAGGCCGTGAAGATGGCGCGTTGAGCATTGGAAGTGGATGCCATGAGGGTGACTCCAATATCTTTGCCAAGCACAAGCAATGTCTGGTTAGGCTATTCCAGTATCAGACAGACCTACAGGACCCTCCACTCCATAGGTTTGATCCTTGGGCCAAGTTTACCAATAATGTCAAGTGGGACTGGCGTTAGAAGTTCGAACATTAATGCTATCCACTTTTCAGTACTGGCTGCATCACATTCTAGTCGGAGAAACAAATTTCATTCGATCTCAATCTCGGGATTGAATCGATTTCAATCCGTGCCCTATATCGATTTGAGCCCTATAAGAGAAGGAACAGGTAGTATACCGTACTGAGTAGGTCAAAGTCAGAGTTTCTTTCTCCCAGTAGCCGTGTTTACGGAGCCTGTATCATACTGCGCTATAGTTCAATGCCGGTCATATCGAGATTATACTTTGTGAGTGTTGTAGTTCTATGCTAGTCATACTGAGATTAGACTTTGGATCTCAGACACTTCGTTTGGTGACCTTCGCTCAATCGGGTACCATAGAGCGATAGGAATCAGCTTTGCAGGACGGATCCCTATGTGAATACCTGTACCTAAGCGAGCACTAGTGACTCACACCTGTTCCGAGACCTCATATCAAGTGGCCAGTGTTCTGATACTGGCGTTGCCCTTACCATGACATGTGAGCACGGGTGACATTCCCTCAAAACCATACCGACTGGTAGACGTTTAAACGTAACAGGTATAGCGTGATTTTTTCAGCCTTCGCATGAGGAGGGATTGGCAAGCGGGGAGTGGCGGCTTCCTCATCGGTTGAGAGCATCCAATGGTCAAGTCCGGTGACATCGAGTAGGTAGACAGATAGGGAGCAGCTTCATGCACGTGATCATGTGAAGAAAAGTGGCGACGCCACCAAGGTCCCTATTCTTCCGAAAGCAGCGGCAATTTAGCAATTAACCCACGTTGTACAGGCACTCTCACAGCCGTTGAATAGCGCCTACATCCGGCGCTGTACGTATCCAGAATTTGCAGCAAATTAACGATTCCAACCAGGGCTTGGGTTGGCAATGAGTAAGCCACGCACACCACCTGTCGATCACAAACACCCTGTAGCATGGAACCTTCTCGCAACACTAACCTTCCTTCCGTACCTTGGGCAAAGTATGTTCGAGCGGATTCCTGTCAGAGTAACTTCTGGGTAGTTCGCGAACAACATGCGCTCGATAGGCCCATCATCCATGTCCTTGCTTGTAGGGTCATAGCCATACTTATCCTGGAACATAAAGTCGTCACTTGCTAAGCGCTTGTGTACAATGTCCACTTCCTTCTGATTGTGAACGAGGATGAATTGACATGCTGCGTTTCTTTAAGAAGGCTCAGCTGGCCGAGCTATGCAGAGGTTGTATTCGTTTGGAGCTACTAAGACCTGTGGCAAAGCAGGAGGAGTAATCTCCGAAACAAATTCACAAAAGCTGCTCGAACTTTTGGGTATAGTTCGGCTATGCACCTCCAGACCTTCCTTGTAGGGCTTTAATTGACAAGCTCTCACCCATTGGTCGTTGGAAAACTTCCTCCGCCATTCTTCTTCTTCATCTGCTTTATCGTTCTATACGTTCCTCAAACATCAAAGGATGAAGCCTCGCAAAACTCACCTGAAATCACGCACAGGATGTGCAACATGCCGTGCAAGGCGGATAAAGTGTGATGAGTCCAAGCCACAATGGTATGTGTTAGCAGATAACAACCATAATCCTTGCGCAATTGCTGNNAGACGTCCCAATAGCATCAACTGTACTCGACGGCAGGTCCGTTGTGACTTTCTGGGAGTTGCATCCTCTTCACAAACTTCGCCAGAAGAGCCTTCACCTCAAGTGGCTCGTATTTTGCACGCTCTCTCGGACAACGATGCAGATGGTTCCATCGAACCAGAGCCTGCTTCTCTTCTGAGATTGTTTCCGACGGATTGCCCAGACTTGTCAAAGCAGGAACGATTTCTGATGGCACATCTCTGTGGAATTAGTGATAATCTTGTTGCTGCCGGAATGCAAGATCTGGATTTTGGTCTCTCGCTGTTGCCAGAGNTTCGTACACCCCAGACACAAGACAAGGCTTTTTTTTCTGACCGCAACGATAGGGCTCACCGCATAGCAGTCGACTGCTCGTTTGTCCGACACAGCGCTTGTGCCCTTGCTAGCACGCATTTGGCGTTTCTAACTCAGGCATCGTCAATGGTTCACCTGGCCTACTACTACAAGTGTTTGGCACTTCGGGGACTTCGTGAGTCCTTGAGGATACTCAATCAGGACAACGTTGATGCCATGCTAGCTGCCTCCTACCTGCTGAGCTGGCAAGCTTCTNCAAAGGTTGGTGAGGCTCTTTTCCCCTGCGATCGCGCTATACCGGAATAAGAAATCGCTTACACTCAACGCAGCCAGGAATTCATGCAAATTATGAAGGGCGTTGATTTGGTATGGAAAATTCTCACTCCCTTGATGACATACTGACGGATGGGGCTGACACTTGCCAAGGCCCTAATTGAGATGGAAAACTTCGGTCACCAGTCAAAGCTCAGGAGTCTCACTCAACACTCAAGTAAGCATGTCAAGCTCGAGGCCGGTAACACCGAGTACGCGCCCTTCCCAGAGAACAACGCAGTAGAGCTGGCTTGTTCAACACTCAGGGAACTACAGAAACAAGTCAGCGACGATCCTGAGCTCCTCCGTGGCACCAAAGAGTTGATCAATTTCATGCAAAACTTGCGAATATCTCCACCAGGACCGACAGCCGACGAGCAATTACAGGCGCTGTATCCAATTCGTCATTGGGTACCATGGCTTCCAAGATCGCTGATCAGTCTGTCCGATCGTGAACCGCTTATTCTGATCTTTCTTGCACATTACCATATGGTCGTTTTAGCAGTTGAGTCGATTCTCCCAGCCGCGCCAAACTTTACCCTTGCGTCCAAGCGCGTCGAATTCATCGAACGACNNTTGGAAACAACGATCGGCCAAGTATACAAACCATCAGAGAAGTTGCCAAAGCCATCAGGTACTCGGAGACGAAGAGAAAGTCTCGAGAACCTGATGTCTGGTCCCTCGGCTTTCGCTCGGCAGTTTCATCTCACCAATCTGCTGTCTGCGGAGTCGAGTCCATTGTGGGGAAACACCCAAACCACAAACGGGGATCAGGGCGCAGAGCCGCAGTGGCAGGACCCTGCCTACAACTCTGTCGACTTCACCCTGTACCGATAAGCTTTCATTCTTGTCTTGTCGTCTATCCATCTGATTCTCTATCACTTGTTTAGCGCATCAGACTGTTGTTGCGTGTTGACCGCCTACATTTCTTGTCTTGCATAGCCTGATCTCACATAATTTTAGCGCGAGAATCGCAACTCGACAATTCATACACAGATTCTGTACAACCACCTTTCGTATGTTCATACAAACATGCTTCGAATAGGACTGTTCCTGGAACGCATTAACGCCGCTATTCACCTCCTCTCGCCGTTTCAGCTTCGGCCTTGCGCAATGCCATATTCTCGTTCTCGTTCTCGGTTGGCATCTCGCTTTACAAGCTCGGTCCGAACCCCGCCAAGTCGCCGGATTTGTTCGGCCTCGCCTATGCTTGCTATACCATTCACTTACCATGTCGTCCTCGCCCTCCCACAAACAAGACAAGGTCGACAAGCTGCATTGAATGAGCAGCCTGTATCACAATCCTCGGCTACATGCAGTGTTTCACGTCTCGATAGCCTCTGCTCAAGCGAAGGTATACAACAATGAGTGTATAGCAGCATCTGGACCCAATCCGAACACCGCCCAGAACATCTGACAAGCAAGAGTCGATCCAGCGAGCTGGATGAACCGCAATTCCGTTCCCTCTGACTGGCCAATTGACAGCTTCAAGCCAAAGAACACCAGTTTGTACTCAGCCTTTGGCTCTGACAATCCTGAGAGTTATAGGTTAACTGAACAACCACAATTTCATCCAGAGCTCGGAAGTCGTAAGATCTTTCACGGGCAAGAACAGGCGAGATGGCCGAGCGGTCTAAGGCGCCAGCTTAAGGTTCTTCCAATACGCTGGTCCGAAAGGGCGTGGGTTCAAATCCCACTCTCGTCAATATTCTTTTGCTCTCGATGTCTATATCAAGCACGCAGACGACGCTCGCTGTGTTGGTGTTGACGAGAATCTTTTTGATCTTGGAGAATTTTTGGCACGCGAAAATTGTGCATGAAGCCTGTGTACATAACCTGGGCTTGGCTGCGTTGTGCCGTGCATAACTATTTCCTTCCTCACTAGGAAGTTGCGACTGCAAAAGTCACCTGCTTTCTGAAGAAGCTATTCATGTTACATGCGTGACTCGAGACTTAGGAGAGATAGAATACCAAAGTTCGTACTATCTGGCTTGACTTTCGATGTTGATATGCACAGCTAATGGTGTCTCAACGGCTTGGTCTGCTATTTATCCGATTTTACGATTCTCCGATGCTGAGAACAGAGATGACCTCTGAAGTACAGACCAACCTTGTCTTATATGCTAGTTTTGCTGTACTACTCAAGAGCGGACTCTATAACAGCTCAATTATAGGTCCATGTTGCTCAGGACTTCTGGTCTTTGCTTTGAAGTCGTTGTCTTGTCGCGGCAGTAGTCGTTCGCGTGCTCATCATGCAATGATCTGACCAAACGCCAATATCAAGCACGATTCGATGATGGCAGTCCGTTTACGCCCAAAAGAGCTGCAACCCATTTCCGTCTACTTCTAAATTGTTTCGAACCAATCGGCAGTACTGCAAATCTTCTGGTGCTGTCTACACTGACAAAATAATGCTGTTCATCATTGTTAATGGTAAAACCCTGACCTCAACTATGACTCTGACTCCAACCCCTTTTTCTCTACGAAAATCTGCACTCCATCTTGCGCTGCGGACTTTGCAGGAAAACCCGTCTGGCTACTTGATCACCTGCAGATATATACCTTGCGACGCCGATAAACAAGCAAATGAACCCGGTTGCCTTATCAAGACCGCCCTAGTCAAACTCCGCTTGCAAAACCAATGGTGGTGAGCTATACGAATACGATCCTTCGAACTGTTTATGTCTGAGCCGCACGCTATACAATCCTTCTCGTACGAAAGACCCACCAAGAAGTCGATTTATAGCTACAAGCCCTTTTGCACAGCCTCATCCTACTCATTACACCAAAAACGGCTGTCAATCTGAAGACAGGAATGCAGCACATATCCATCGACCGCCAAGCAAAACAACACGCGTGTTGAGGGTGGAATTTGGAGAAACAGGTGCCTGCCAAGCACCGAATGCCATGCAGGTTCTAAAACCGTACGAAGGATCTATCTGTGACTGAGTTTCCATTGGTCGTCTCGGAAAATGCAGCCAATGGAAGTACAGAACCTGGATAAATGACTAGCGAAGGGGTGATTGGAGTAGTAGTGTAGCAGGTAAGAAAACCGATGTGCATGGTGCTGCTTTTGCTCAGCTGGATTGGTGAAGATGTCTTGGTGAATCCTTCGCATTGGGCCTTTTTAAAGAGTAGCTGCGATCGCACTTTTGTGCTGCTGGAAGGTCGTATTCTGCTTTTCTTTCGCTATACCACTTCTTACCTCCCTCGGAAAACAGCAAAATGGCACAGATGCAACCGTGGTTAATCATCATACTAGTCCTGCTGGGCTGTGCATTATTTGCTGTCACGATAGCTGGCTTGGGAAGACTGTACATTGGAGACACCAGCGTTACTGTGGAAAGCCGGCCGTCAGATGTCCAAGCAAGCTATATGCGAGAAGTGAGGGAGAGAAATCAATCGGCCATCTTGCACAAGATCAAGATCCCGCGCGGTCAGACGAAGATGCAGAGATCCTACACCAATTATACGGATTATTCTTCCGCGGACGGAGCTTGTAAGTTAATGTTCTTGCGGATTCGATAGCTCGACGTTGTTGATTGACGTGCTGCAAATAGAACCAATGCCGGCTATATGAAGCACGGAAATCCCATCTACGCATACGATGCGAGGAGATCTGCATATGTGCTGTATGCCACGCCGTCCTTGGGCTCAACCGAGAACATGTAGTCGCCCCACCAAGGACCAGCAGCCCACCATAGGGCACCAGCCCAGACATCAGAGTTCTCAGCCACATAGGCAAGCATGTCCTTGACAGCGGCTTCGCAATCGGTGTTGACAGCACCTGCGAATTCACCGATCAATCCAATCTTCTTGTTCTCGCGGAGCCAGGTTGTTGCTGCCTTGAGGCGCTCGCTGCCGATCGTTTGAGAGACACAGGTGGAGGAGGTACCGGAACCATCCNNTGGCGGGTGCTGTTAGTTGCAGACCGTATTAGGATACGGGTGACTTACCGAGTCGAGATATTGGTGCATCTGGTAGATGAGTTTGTTGTCGACGCTATCAGTCAAGGTTCCCATGGTTTCGGCGTTGGTCTTGCCATCTGTGCCCTGTGTGGTTGTCCAAGTCCACGCACCGGTCCAGGCATTGCCCTCGACGGTGATGTACTGAGATGTAGCGCCTACAGAACGAATGGCATTGATAGCTGCTTGGTTAAGCTCAGCTACAAGATTTGAAGACTCGTCGTGGAACTCGTTGTTGGTATCAAAAATAACCTTCTCATTGTCCTTGAAGACTGCTGCAACGTTCTTCCAGAAAGTGTCAAAGTCCTCAGTCGAAGTGAAGACTGCTCCATTGTAGCGACCGTAGTTATGAGGTACGATGATGGCATAGGCACCAAGCTTGGTGATGCCGTCAACAGTCTGTGTGAGATTGGTAAGGTACGCAGCGTCCAACGAGCCAGTCATCTGATTAGGCACCAGACGCTCCATCAAGAAGTTGACACGGAAGGTGTTGTAGCCCTTGTTGACGAATTTGCCGATGGAATCAAGATCGGGCCAAGTATAGTCCGTTCCTAAACTGCCAGGTATATGTGCCTCGCCAAATTCGGGTCCAGACTCATTGACGCCGACAAACTGAAGCTTGTTGGCGGCACGTTGGCCAAGACGAGTAAGAGGTTGAGCAAGAACAACACTTGCCGAGCCTGCAGCCAGAAGAAGAGAAGGAAGATGCATATTGAGAGAAGAGATGGTCAAGTAAGAATGAGTATAGAAGAAGATAGGGTAAAGAAAGAATCAGACCTGATGCTTCTGGCTATATATGTGCTCGTCGCTTGAACGTACCTGCAGTCTGCCCTAGAATCTGTACGCGAGCAAGCGATTCGGTTGTTATAGATGAAACAAGCGGGGAAGTGTGTAAACGTGACCCAAAGGGCGATCCCATCCTCACAATGGCAGGTGAAAATTCACGTCCAATGGATCGTCATTATTTTCGTTGACGGAAAAACCTGTCGTCTGTATAGAGCTCGATAGAAGAGTGCTCTACTGCATAAGACGCAGACAGGTGACACGGACGATACTGGATCTGAGTGGTATGTACAAGGAGAAGGCTGTACTTGTGACTGTCTGGGATACGGAGCCATTGCTTCTGCGTGCGTTCCCAAATTGTCGTGATGTTGGTGAAAATGCGAACTGCGCAAGCATGAACCTCGCTATGATGGCAGTAGATCGACGCGTCGAAGGCTCTTGAGGGCAGCCTCAGAAAGAAATCTTTGTGAGCAACATCATATTCTGTGGTAAGAGCCCAGAGCACATCATGTGATACATGGTTTCGTGGTGTAGTTGGTTATCACTTCTGTCTAACACACAGGCGGTCTCCGGTTCGAGCCCGGACGAAATCATCGTTTTGCCTGTTTGATGACCTGCTTGTGGTCCAAAAATTGGTGCTGAGGAGGTGGATGAAAAATTGGCGAGTGCTGGGCAGGAGCGGGCGTAGCGAGCGTTCTGGAACGCCGATGCCTGAAATCTTGGCCAATCCATGTTTTTGGCAAGTACATCTCAAGATCGTCCCTCCCACTCATCCAACATTCACCCTGCATAAGGGCAATCCTCCTAGCGATCATGCGTCTCTCTCCTGAACCTCAAGCTGAATATTGGAGAGCCATTGGTTCTTTCTCGTACTGAAGATGCCTGCTGGACGTAGTGGTCCGCCATTGAAAACACGAAGGATGCAGAGGCTAAGGCAAGCATGTTTTGACCGACTCTTCTAGTAAGCATTTAGCGTGTTTACTTGTTGCCAATTGCAGTAGGTTGTTTTCTCGATTGTCGTCACTGCATATCAGGTTTGTTATGCCCTCGAGTCCACCGCTCGAAATTAACAATTACGAGGGCTTTTGACTAGGGCCTTAGGCGCACGAACGGACGTCTCACCGCACATGTCCAAAGAGCTTTGATACACCGCCAGGGAATTTTTCCTGGCACCATTGATTCTTTTAAAGAAGCATGAGCTCTTGCTGTTGATCTATTCTGCATATCAGTGACCACATTGGTTCTTGACACTGAATCGCGACTTCCTGGCTTTCAGTCACTACTAACATTTAGAGTTACCAAAAACATCAAAAGATCTCTCGACCAACATCATGGGCAAATTCACTAGAAGCTTGCGCCCTTCGATGGGTTCTCGTCCCCAATCAGCCGTTTTTGAGAAGTCCAGCCGTCCTTCCTCAGGAGTCTTCTCATCCTCTTCACGACCATCATCTGGCGTTTTCGATGCTGCCGACATTCCAAGATCTGACGCATCTGAGACGAGCAACCGTGAGCTTGCCGAGTTGGCCCAAGATCTCAAGGTTAGTCGCCATTACATTTCTGACTAGCCGCAAAGACACTGACACATGTCCAAGGCACTTGCAGACCAAGCCGAACAACACAAACAACACAATCTCGACAACTTTGTCCAGATCCTCAGTCATCTCAATGGCCTCCCTGCTATGCTCGAGCACATCGGCTCTATGCCCGACATTGTCGCCTTGAACCAAACCATTGGCCAACAATCGCAACAGATCGCTGATCTCGAGGCCCGTCTCGCAGCTTCGGAAGCCGCACACAAGGAAGAGGCCACAGCCCACACAAGCACAAGAGAAGAAGTCACGCAGCTCAAAGCAGCTTCCGACTCCAAGGACGAACGCATTTCTCATCTCAAGTCTCTTCTGGGCAACATCGACCAAGACGTCAAGGACGCTCGTGGCGCACTGGAAACAAAGGATCTTGAGATTTCCAACTTGAAGACCGAACTCTCCAAGCTGAACTCGCTCGTCGCCTTCCAAGACCAGGAACACGCTGCCCTGAGCGACTCCATTACAGCCAAGGACGACGAGATCAAGCAACTGCATGAAGGTCTCGCTGGCAACGACGCCGAGCTCGCACACACAAAGACGGTCCTTGCTCAACTGGATGCTCAGATAGAGTCTAAGAACCAGGAGCTGCACTCTCTACGCACCGCCAACGAGCTGACCTTCCGCCAACTGCTCGAGTCGCAAACAGCCAGCATGGAACATCTCTTCCAACAGCAGACCCACACTACCGATGCCCTGACCCAGCAAATCGTCGAACTGAAGCAACAGATCCGTCTCCAGCAACACTTGGAGATTCCCAACACCCTCCTACCTCCAACCCTGTCAGCCCTGCTGTTTCGATGGCAAGCGCTAGCTGGGGTATGCCCGGCTTTGGCATGTTTGGCGGCAAGAAACCCAAGATGCACAAGCGTTCTCAGAGCCAGATTGTCGTCAAGGCTCCCCACAAGTTTGATGTGCCTGTGCCCACCATGCTTTGAGTTGCCTGAAACACAAGCACCTGTACCTCTTCTCGTTTTTTGTACCCTCTTTCTCTGACGACCTCTGCGTTTGGATTTTCATTCTCTTCTTGTCTCTTGATTTCCTTTACTCCTGTTTTCCTTTTTCTTTCCTTTGCAAGCACTCTCACTGTTATAACTCATGCCCTTCTACGAACCAATAATGCTTCTACGAGAAACACGATTAGACACTTTTGTATATACTCTTGTATATCAATGTATATTTCACTTTGGCGTTTCTTCCTGATATCAATCAAAATCCTCAAGATATACCGCAGAGCTGTCTGAAGCGGTCGTTGGAGATAGTCAGTTCGTCCGGCTTGCCAACAGCAGAGACGCGTCCCGCATCCATCATGATCACCATATCTGCATCCAGAATAGTCGTTGTCTGGCGAATACGTCAGTATTGTCCCAAAAGAAGCATAACCACCTGCAAAAGACTTACCCTATGTGCAATGGAAATAACAGTGCAACCCACAAACTCTGAGCGCAGAACCTCTCGGATCAAGGTATCATTCTCTACATCTAGACTGCTTGTTGCTTCGTCAAGTATGACTAGTTTGCTCTTGCGCAATAGAGCTCGTGCTAAGCAGAGTAGTTGCGCTTGACCGTGACTCAAACTCTGTTGATCGATATCTGCATCCAAACCACCACGTTCGTTGAAGAGATCGAGTAAGTGAACTTTGCTCAATGCAGAGGTCAATATCGTGTCGTTTAGTTCGGTCTCGGGATCGAGGATTGACCGCAATGTTCCGGGAAGAAGGAAAGGCTGTTGTGGGATGGCGATGATGCTTTGACGAACAACGTCTGGATGGACATGTTCGATGTCATTTCCATCGATGGAAATGCTGCCATGCCGCAGTGGAAGAAGGCGCAGCAAAGCAAGCATCAGACTTGACTTCCCACTGCCCGTGCGACCACAGATTGCAATTCTTTTGCCTGGAGGGATTGAAAAGTTGATGTCGTTCAGATCATAAGGACCAGGTGCATCGGTGTATTTTGCGTGTACCTCAGAGAATACTACTGCTCCTCTAGTCACCAGATCTTGCGATATCGTGTTGATTTCTGACGAAGCTTCCTGCTCTATGGTAGCGGCAAANGATCGCACTCGAGAAACAGCGCCCAATGATGTTTCTAAAGTCGTCCATTCGGTCACAAGACGAGTGAGAGACTGGCTGAACCCGAGGACATTGGTCAAGGCCACGCCTAACAAGCCTGCCGAAGTTGTACCTCTTTGAGACACTGCTAAACCAACGACGAGAACAGCCAGAGCAGCCACGATCAGATCGAGGACCAGCTTCAACCACCGCTGTATGCAAGACAGCAAATAGTATGGCGATTGAGCAATGTCCAACAACTTCGAGTGCTGNTTTTTCAATTCTTCCTCCCATCCGAAAGCGCGAATGGTGACTACGCCTTCGAGTGTCTCGAGAAAGTGAGAGTAGATAGGACTGCGAGCCTCGATTTCGAGCAGACGCAGTTGTCGTGACGTATTGAGATACACCTTCTGTATCGCATAGATCGCGAGCATGACGAAAGGGACAGTAATGGCCATGTAGCTAGCTCCTGTCGAAATTACTGCCAAGGAGGCAATCGTCTCACATAGTGTATTTCCAGTTGCAATCAGTGAGGTAGGCAAAGCTCCCACGACTAGAGCCATGTCTTGGGCAAATCTGTTTAGGATGGCACCGCTGTCGCTTTGGTAGTAGACCGAAGAAGCTGCTCCTGCGACAGTGTACAGAAGAGTACGATGCATGTTGATAGCAGAGTCAGGAATCATCTTCAAGAAGACGACCCACATGTTGAGGTTGCTGAAGCATGTTTGTGCCAGAGCGAGTACGGCATAGACTGTGAGATACAGACCTAGGTTAGAGTCATCATTTGCTGTCCACCAATTCAGCCAGATTTGAGAAAATCTAGAACTGAAGGCAGCACCAATGGAGAAAGCGGCGAACATGGCCAGATATCTCTTCTGGAAGTTGCCGAAGTAGTACTTATATATCGACCAGTCACCAGTTCTTCTCGCCAAGTCGTCTTTATCTTCCTTGGACGGACCTTTCGGCGCTCGAGCTTTACTTACCTCCGTGACTCTCACGTTGGCGGACTTTTCGAGAGATGTATCAGTCGTCACATAAAGCTCGATACGAGAGGGTGATATCGAACCCCTGTGTACAACGCAGCTATCTTTCGAAAGGGTCACGATCTGGTCAGAGATCGCCATGACTCTTTGAGAATGAGAGACCAAAAGCACTGTACTTCCGAGTTTTCGAAGCAATCCTCTGGGGCCAAGTAGACGGTGGATAATCACCTCCTCAGTGTTGACATCGAGTGCACTCAAGACATCGTCAAGAAGCATGATGTCCCTCCGCGCATATACAGCCCGAGCAAGTGCAAGCCTGGCTTTCTGTCCTCCAGAAAGTGAAACACCTTTGCTGCCAAGTTGAGTATCGTCTCCTTCTGGCATACTTGCAACATCTTGGGTAAGATCGCAAGCGTGTATCACCATACTATACCAGGACTCGTCGACATCTGTTGAACTGTGGTCTGACCCTGTGACGAAATCTCTTGTGGTCTTGTTGGTTGTCCAAGGCTTCTGACTGCAGTACGCAATGCTCTTCGAAGACACCGATATGCCACCACCTAGGACATGAGTCTCGCCGAGAACTGTCTTCAGCAGAGTAGTCTTGCCCGATCCTGTTGGACCTGTAATAACAGTAAGGGATCGTGTGTTTGCCTCTAGCGAAACACCCTTCAAGATTATCGGACCTTCGGTCGACAAAGACACTCCCAGTTCTGAGCAGACGACAGCAGATCCCGCTCGGATACCCTGCGAAGTAAGGGGCGACATCTCAATGACGCGTGCTGAAGTTTCGTTATTTATGGCATTTGACAGGCGTCTGCCACCGAAAGATCGACGATCGTTTCGAACTGGGAGCTCCAAGTAATGCTGTAACCGTTCAAAGCAACCCAAAGCTTGTGCCCACAAAGGCATGATGGTCAGCAACTTCGCGCTAGCGGTTGTGACCAGATCTAATAGTGCCAAAGAAGTAAAGGCTTGAGCAATGTTCAAACCGTCCGAGCCGTCGACGTGAGCTTTGATGGCGTAGACTATGAATGTTGTCACGGGTGCCCATATCGATGGTATCACAGCTNNGTTCTTGTCAATGCCCAATCTGAATGTTCGAATTAGTACCAACGAACCGATTGCATTCAGCCCGATAATGAAGCGAGCAAAGCAGGCGAACATTTGGAGCTCGTTGACCCTCAACGAATCGAGCAAGCTTGAAGCAGATTTCATGAGGCCNTAAAGAGGTTACGGCTACTCAGTACCAGTCTCGCATGCTCAAAGCATAGACTTACTTGACATCTTGATCGATTGAAGGGATCCAAGTACAGTGGACGTCGTATTGACACGTTTCTGTGTTGCAGCGCTCCAGTTCTTTCTCCTCGATCCAATTCTTCTAGACACCCAGCCTTGTGCTTGAGTGGAGATGACTGTAAGGACTATGGGTACAATGCTCACTGCGCCGACTTGTCGAGCCAGAAGGGCAATGCCCACCGTGACTTCGATCAATCTAGCCCAGGACTCATTGAGTTCACTAAGAACTCTGATTATCGTGTCAATATCTATAAAGATCGCGTTAGACCAATAGGCAAGGGCAGAAATGCGCAATTCGGACTTACCGCTCGATATCAGTGTCAGCGCAGCACCGTCCTTGGTAATACCATCGGATACGACAAGGATGTGGTCATAGATCATTGAAACCAGGGCGCCTCTGAGTTTAGTCATAATGCGAGAGACTTGCTGCTGGTAAAGAGCGTTTGAGATCTGCAACTTCACTCAGCGAAAGAACTGGACCGAGATGACCTGGCAATCACTTACAGCTATTCCAGTATAGATTATAAAGGTGGCACCGATAAGCCCGTATCCAATATTGTCGTTTGAGTCATGGTTATGCTGGCTAAGGTAGTCAATGGCGCGAGTAAAGAGAAAGGGTTGAGCGAATGTGAAGCCAATCAGAACGAGTCTCGTTGGTATCATAGCCGTGATATCTGTCCAAATCGCGCGAAAGCAAGCTTTAGGCAGAGCCCATACGGACAGAGGAGCCATAGATGATTTGGAGCGGCCCTGAAGTCTTTTGGATTTCTTGTCGAGCGCTGCCTCTAATTTTTGGCCAGTTTTCCGAGATCGCAACTGTGGATCAATGGCGTATAACTGGTCTTGGTCCAGAAGAGTCCGCATACCACTCGCAAAGAGAGGATTCAGCCACCACAGGAAACTTCTGCTCATGATGGAGCTCGTTGACTCTGGCGGTAGTGTTTGATCTGCTGGAGGCAGCCATGATCTCTTATTCCAAGATTCGCACACCAACAAGGACAGTTTGAGAGCGATCGATAGGCATATGAAGCTCGGTGTTACTTTGCCAAAATGGTTCAGAAACAGTGTGCGCACCTGAGTCGCATCGAAGATAGATGAGAATATTAGATATACGCCCAGGAGTGAAGACGGCCGGATCGATCGTGTGTGCGATACTGTGGAGAGGAAGACTATGGCCAGAGAGACGATCAGCCCAAGACACAGAGCTGGAAGTGTTGCTGGAGTCTCTGAAGAGGGTCGAATGGTACATAGCACCAGAAGAGAGATTTGTGTGACTGCAAGAAGGATTGAAATNGATCTATTGTGTCGGTCAGCGATTTTCTTCGATGTGGCTCAATGCATGGTTCTGACCAGCTTTGAATTTCTGATGGTGGACGCGATGAATCTGGGTGCGGCTCGATACAGCTTGATGAGGCTAATAGGAAGACAACACAGAAAGATGACGGAAGGAACGATCGACAGGATTGCTTGTTCGAAGAACAGCGTGAAGTCGAAGCTGCCATCGCAGCTAGCTGGACCAAACGCTTGAAGATTACAGTCCGATGTTGCATCGGATAACCACGTCGCGTTCGACATGCTTACGAAGGTCACTACTCGTGTAGCTACTGCACATGAGGTAGACCTTATGTTATAAGCTCACCTGTGTTGACTTCTATACCGATATGGCAGGTGTCAGATAAGGACTTTCAGGGGCCGAACTAGCCGGAGGATCAGGCCCAGTTTCCTCGTAAAGAACGGATGAGACAGCGCCACTAAATATACGTGCGTATGCGTAGAGTGTATTCGTTTTGGTAGCAGCGATATCTTATCTCTCGAATGGTGTACCTAACTAATTGCCTTATGCATTTGTACTTGAGATAGCAGCAACGAACGAGGGAGTGGAGGAAACCCCAACGCGCGACGCCGAAGTTCAGCCAAGGCTTCACCACCCCGCTCCGTCAGTATTTCATGCAACAGGATTGAGAAAAGGATTGCGTGCAGCACAAAGCGCACCCAACAAGAGACAAAAACTTATTGGCACAGACAAAAGGATAATGATCAGAGTGGGATTCGAACCCACGCGATTTCTCACTAGTAAACTCATTTCAGGTGAGCCTGAAACTAGCGCCATAACCACTCGGCCATCTGACCAGTCGATGACTTCCTGAAAAGGTGGTGACATACACGATGCATTGCAAACCACGAGGGTTGGTGAAGGCAATGAATCGAGGGGGGCGCCATGGGGTAAAAGGCAACAATGGAGCGTGATGGTCTGAACCTAGAAACAATTGGCGTCAATATTCATTCTGAGATAGTATCGAATGTACAGAAAGAGGATAAGAATTGTAATCGGCATTAAACATTAAGTCATCTAAATCATCAGGTCAGCAATGAACACTCCCATCCAGTCCATCTTCTCTCTTCAACAGCCTTAACACAACATCCAATCCATCAAACACACGGTAACATCTCCTAAGCTCGTCCAATTGTTCCAAGCGTTTCACGATCTCCGTCCCACTGCCACCAGCCCATAATGTGCGTCGATCATCCTCTGCGAAGCTGTCTGCCACTTTGACCATAGCATCCACGAACATCTTGTCAGAACCCAGTACATCTTTGACTCTTTCTCCCACAACGCCTGTAGCAAGACAAACACTCCTGCCAATCTTTCTCAAGGTCTCTAGAGCGTTTTTCTTTGTGATGAGTGAGCTTTCCTTCCGTACTTGGGTAGCAACACTCGATATATCGTTTGCTATTCGCTGAACTGCCTTGTCGGCGTATGGTCGCCCTTTGACTGGGTCTAAGTGTGGTTTGGAGTTTAGAGTATGCCAGACACTATTGCTGTAGTGTACGAAATTGACCGTCTTGCTCGCACCAATTGAGGCTTTTTGTACATATTCTGAAGTAATGTCAGAAGCAAGAGAAGGGTGTTTCTGTACTGCAAGACGGAGAAGTTGACGTAATTCTGCTGCTGAGAACGAGTCTAGAGCAGTATCCAGAGAAGCATCAGAGTGGATCGTCGAAGGCGAAGGACCCTCATTCATAGGTGTATCGACCCGCACAGACATGTGAGGTGCAGTCTGGTAGTGATTGGGTGGCGGCGGAAGGTCCATAGTAACCGTAAGTCGGATAGGCCCATAGCCAGGGATGGTCGGAAGTGTTGTGCTTGTTTGCATGCCCGTGTCGCTGTGAGAAAACGAGGCTTGGGGAGTGTCTGGCAATGGTCTGTGCAAGCTCATCCTAGCCGAGCTTGATGGATTTGAATATGTAAGGGGCGATGGTATCGCGCTATCATGCAACGTGATACCAGAGCTCGTGTGGAAGCTCGAGCTCGCAGCCGACCACGAGTCTCCGGTAGTATCGGAGGAAGTCAGGCTAGGCAGTTCATTGGACAGATGACTGCTGCTGAACTCGGAAGGTGTGAAGGTCCTTGAGGTCTGGCCGGCATCGTACAGCTGTGGCAGGGAGCTTGATTTGTTCCATATCACACTCCCATTGAAATTTGATTGAGACGCGGACCGTGAGGCGATGGAGCTAATTGATGATCTTTGGCGAGTATGACTGTGTGATGGAGGTGTCGGCGCAAAGAAAGGTCGGATATCTCAAAACTATCGCTGAAGCTGTTTGTCCGAGTAGGCTTTGCTGGTATCGAAAACGAAGACATGGCTGCTGAAGGATTGTGAAGGATGGAAAGAAGACACAATACGAACGACAAGCTTAGATGTAGTAGGTTTCTTCTCTTTCTGTGGTACGCTTTGAACTGAGAAACACACTTACTCGCCATGTCTATAGCAACCACTAACTTGGCGCCGGGAGGCAAGAGTCAATGCTGAACACGGACTCTAGATGCCCTTATGGTTTCAGGGCCGACCTCTTATCGGAAGTCATGTGGCATCTATTCATCAGACCGACTTGCCATCGTTACAGACCTCTACATGTGATCGCAGCATCATCGATAGGATGATACTGTATGCATGTGCATTTCCCATCTTCGAGTTGATACTGAAGGATGTGGTATGTGTAGAGGAAGAGCAACAACAAAACAAGCTTGATGAAGCGACGAGAGCATTGACCATTTCGGCATCCGGATGCTCCCGCCAAGGCATCGAGGACTGTCGGTGTGTGAACCCTCATTCTTCACCTCTTCTTCCCAGCCTCATCTGATCATACGGTCCACATGCCGGCAACTATGGACGGATCACAGCCCCCTCATTGGCAAAGACTCTTGTACTGGACTGTATTCTGGAACACTCTTCTCTATCTGCTTGTGCACCGACCACCATACTCTCGGGTTCGGCACCGCATTGCTCTGGCCATGGGATGCTACTCTTATGCCTACGCGCTTCTTGACGAAACCCGTAAGCAACGGGTTATAAGTTTCGAATCTGCAATCATAAGTATCATTGCTGTCAGTCACATGATATGGACATATTGTCAAAAGGACGCACGATAGCGCCATGACTGGCGCAAAGGTGGTGCCGTGGAGTCTCTGTTCCATGGAGATATCATGAATTTCAATTCGTGTCCAGATTGTTAAACAGCAACCTTCTTTCCTGCAACACGGCCGGACTTTGAGGTAGAGCTTTTGGTATCTGCCTTGGTTCCAGCTATCGCTGCAATGCCACTTAACATTTGATCGAGATCAATGTCAGAATCATCATTGAAGAATATCCTTTTGGGAGTCTTGGATGACTTCTTAGCGATCGGCGCTGGAGCTACTGCTTCTAGCAAAGCCGTATCGATATCGTTGGTTGAAACTGACGGTTTGGTATCATCTTTGTTGACCATGTTTACCGAATCATGTTGCTCAGACGTCGCTCGTTTTGTGGTTGTCCTTGGGACACGCACCCGCCTGACCAACTTTTTTCTTTTTNNTGGTAGCAGGTTCGCTTCGCGCGTAGCATCCGGCTGTGCATCTATAGGGGTNTCCGTCGATCTGTTGCTCAGTGGACTTCTCAGGGTGCTGTTTGGCCACCTTCCGTTGTCTCGTGGTCTTAGACTTCGGCTTCCCATCAATATTTTCTTCCTTNNCAGTGGCAGTGTGGTTGTTGTCTGTGTGTCTTCTTCCAGGCTCGGTTGCGCGGTTTCAACGCTCTCCTTTACATGCTTCCGTACAACTTTCTTCCGTGATACAGCCTTCTTTCGAGTCTTCTCATCTACGCGTGCTTCCTGAGGATCCTGGCTGGATTCTGTCTTCTTGGGCGGAGCGGATTCTGGCACAGAGAGGGCATGTATAGAATGATTGCTAAGCCCATCTTCGTCTCCATGATCCGGTAAAGGTGTATCGAGTGTGTCTGAGTGACTTGGTATCCGTTTTGAGACAGCAAGCGTCTTAGTTCTCTTCTTCTTGAGTGGTGGAAGGTCCTCTGCTACGGGTTCTGGTAGAGGTATTGGCTGATCTGGTTGAGGCTTGAGGGAGTCTTTCTGGCGAGATCTTGGAACTAGAATGCGCTTCCGTACAACCTTGCGCTCGGTCGGTTTCTTCTCGGCCGGGATTTCTTGTTGTGTCAGATCAAGTCCAGTATCCGTGGTGGCAGTAGGAATAGCATGGTCATTTTGTTCTTGAGGGGTTGTCTTCTTTGTCCTTTTCTTGAACCAGACATCTTCATCCTCTTCTTCCCTGACAATTCTCTTTCTCTTTTGTGCTGGTTCCTGGACAGGAAGCGAGGATTCGGGTATGTGTTGGGGCTCTGTATGAGCAATGGCGGTTGATGGTGAATTTGTGGGCAATGGTGACTTGAGGGTGGTAGTGTCGGTGACTTGAATGGGACCAGCCTGGAATATAAAGCCAAAGTTTGTAGGAATAGCGCGAGCACTTGGACAGAGTGTCAGCAAGCATACGACAGGTGTGAAGGTGATTGTTTATACCCAGCTCCTCGTTGTCGCATCATATGGCGCTCATGGCGAGCGGCTGGCGGACAATCAGCGCATGCGGTATAGTGTCGAAAGGGAAGAACTCGCCGACTGTAGTCATCGTGTATAGATGTCAATTGTTGTATACCTGAGATAGAGTGTCAATGTTGTGGTCGAGAATTGTTTACTGCCAACGGAGTTAAGCTCGGGTGCAAGACATGACGCGCGACTGCTCGATCCAAATTCTGTCGCGTTGATTGTCGCCGACGATACTCAGTCAATCATGCGACAAGCTGCTCTCGCCCGCCTCAGGCCGCTGCAGCCATTGAAGCCATACGTCTGCAGAGACTGTGTCTCACGATCGACGCGACGTACCGTCTCACGGTCTGTCGCATCCAGAGACAAGGCTTCCTCCACATCATGGGAATCGCAGGTTGAGAGGATACGTACTGGCGAGAGAAAGAGCTTGTTGACTATACTAGAAGAGCGTGGTTTTATCAAGGACCTGGCTGGCGATCGCAATGCTCTCGACAAGTTGCTGACCGACAAACGTGTCGGTGTCTATTCTGGCATCGACCCAACTGCTCCTTCGCTTCACCTGGGCCATCTTCTACCCATGATGGTCCTGTTCTGGATGTACATTCATGGTCACAGAGCCGTATCCATCATCGGAGGTGCAACTGCAAAGATCGGTGACCCCACCGGACGTTTGATCAGCCGGCAAGAGATGGACAGAAACACGAGGACTTCAAATCTGGTCTCGCTGCACAGCTGTGTACGCGCCATGTGGAAGAGCGTAGACAGATATGCCGAGAGACACGGCTACAACAAAGACGAAGCTTGGTCCAAGAGTATACAGAATAACTCGGTCTGGTTGAGCAAGCTAAATATCATTGACTTCTTGTCTGACGCTGGTACCGTCGCTAGAATGGGTGCTATGCTGGGCAGAGATACGTGAGTCTTGACTGTTTCCATCCTCTGTTCTGACAGCATGCTGACTTCGGCAGTGNTCAAGAACAAGATGGCTCAAGGTGACGGAATGTCCTATGCTGAATTCACCTATCCCCTCCTGCAAGCCTATGACTGGTGGCATCTGTATCAATCTGGTGTTCAGGTGCAGATCGGTGGTTCTGACCAGTATGGCAACATTGTCGCTGGTATTGACCTAATCAAACACTTGACCCCTAGACCCTCAACCTCGCCAGAGATCAAGCAGCTATCCGGTCCTTTTGGTCTCACTGTGCCGCTCTTGACCACAGCAGCTGGTGCCAAATTCGGTAAAAGTGCTGGAAACGCAATCTGGCTGGACAAGACCATGACGAGCCCCTTTGAGCTGTACGGTTTTCTCGTCGGCTCTGCTGATGCTGATGTCGAACGCTACCTGAAACTCTTCACCTTCCNNCTTCCTCTGGACCACATCTCCACCGTCATGGCCGAACATCAAGTCGATCCTAGCCAACGCAAAGCTCAGCATCTGCTTGCGCGTGAAGTCGTCGAGTTTGTCCATGGTCCCCAAGAGGCTGAAAACACACAGAACCAGCACAAGTTCTCACGCCGACCAAATTTGCAAAGTCTACAAGCGGAAGCGGAGAACAGCAAAGAAGGCCTCAACCGTCTCTATCTACCTCACAGCCTAGTCCACAACAAGCCGCCGGCACGTATCCTGTACTATGCTGGCCTTGCCAAGAGCAACAGCGATGGTACTCGCATGGTCAATTCCGGTGGCGCCTACATTGGCAGTCAGTCTGACGAGAACGGCTCAGATCCCAATGGCGAGCTCAAGTTCCGTTCTTTGAAGGGCATCACTGCTGCCATGGTCGCCGAGATGATGGAGAAAAGCAACGTACTTGTTCTTCGAACAGGCAAGTGGAACGTCAAGCTCATTGAAGTCATCAGTGATGTAGAGTATGAGCAGAAGGGCCTCAGTGCTCCAGGTTGGGAGGAGATCAGAGCGGCCAAAGACGAGACATCGTCTTGAAGCAATCCTCCGTGCCAATCACAGTGTATAATTATGTAAGATTATAGAAAGCCCTGTTTTCTGTTCGAGTAGGTGTTCTTTCATCTCTGTCTTCTCATAGAAAAAAAAGTCAAAAGTAGGTCTGCCTTGTGCTATTCACTCACCCAGCCAGACACCGAAGGAGCAAGGAGCAAAAAACCAGAGCTGAGCTCTTATGGAAGAACCCTCCCTTTGGCGGTCCTTGATCTTGGCCCCCAGATGTCGGTCATCTGGCATACATGAATTAAGACGTACAAGGCAGGAATGGTTTTATTCTGAATCGGGAGTGTACTAGCCGTTGCACCACTCAACCGATTACAGTAACAAAAGAGATCTGAGTTGAATGTATGTGCTGCTAGATGAGGCGAGGGTTCGAATTGGGAGGTGAGCAGTTTCCCCTTTTGTGTTGTGCTCTTTGTGGTGATATGCAGAGGCTCCCTGATTATTTTATAGTTTTTCTGGTGCAGGAGACTGGCTCTATTGTATTGCGGTAGCAGACCTCAGTCATTGCAAAGAACCACTCTTATCGGTAGAACAGTAGGTTCCGTCGCGTCTCTGCCGTCGAGCGAGACAAAACCAGAAACATCACCTGGCCGATGAAACTGGAAGGCGCAAAGCGGACATTGAGCAACAACTCCTTCTGTTTCCTGCACCATTCTAGAAAGCGCTTTCTGCGTCTCTTTCCAAGAGAATCGTCTCTCGGGTAAACACGCGTTTGTTGACTCGATTCAACTTTGTCCTTGTCTCACGCAATTGTTTCGTCTATACACTTCTCTTTCCTTTTCCGCTCGACAACGCCTGCTCAGGAGATTAATCTCTTGCCCCATCAACCACAAGGTATTGATATGGCGCAAGTCAAGATGCTGAAGAGATCTCAAGACGCAGTTTCGTGTTCTAGCTGCAAACAACGCTATGACTTGATCGAAGCGCTGGACCAGCACCTGGAGACATCACTGACGGGGCGCCGCATCTGTCCCAGAACCCAAGCACCGGCATTGATCGTTTGCATCGGGTGCGAACGCGACTTCCCCAGTATCCAAGATCTCAAACAGCATGTTCAGAACTCCTTCTTGCACCACCCAGAGCTCTCCAAACCCACTGGTCGTGTTGTTTTCGTCGGCCGACTTCCTGCCAATGTCAGAGAACATGATGTTGTAAACACATTGTTTGAGGGCTTCATTGTGTCAGTAGCCAACATCCATACATCTTGCCCTTCATTCAAAAAAAACAAGACTGACAACAAAGAGTAGTGAGACTACATCCATGCGCACACATTGTCCTCACTTTGACAACTTCGCCTTTGTCACTTTGACGACAACCGCGGAGGCCAATCGTGCTGTCAAGGAACTTCACAAAAGCGACTCTTCGACCAGAAAGTTGTCGTTTCGCTGCAGCGCTCTAAGGAAGATTCTGCAACTAAATTCTCTGGTCGTAAGCCACCCTCACGTATCCTCAGTATGGCACCCAGCGTAGCTTATACCAGAGCTTCTTCCAAATCTGCTGCCACAGCCTCTGGTAAAGAGAATACTGGACCTCTGCTTCCTGTCAATATGCAGCTACCACAAGCTACGCCTGCCTATGTACAGCCTACGTCCCCACCCTTTGACCCTCGAACACCTGCTTTCCTTTACAACCCCAATTCCCCTGCTGTCTATAACCAATCCTACCCAAGTCTGTCTTACCATCCTCCATCTCCTGTCAGTTATGGACATCCTGCTGCGATCGCTCCATTCAGACCTGCTCCTGTCAATCACAATTCCAAGGTTCAATCCGCACCAACCTTTGTGCCCGGTGGTGTGTTGCCGGCGACCCAGCATCTCCCACAACAAGCTACAGAGCAACGTCCACGTCGCCAGCGTGGTCGACGTAAGCAGTTTCCACCTCAATACGACGGACCCTCGGACTCTCCTACTGCATTGCTTCCACGAGATACCGAGTCTGGAACTTCAATGCTTCGTCCCAACGTGAATGCCAAAAGACTACAATCGTCCGGACCCCCACACCTGGCACCACTTCAACATTCTGTATCACTTCAAGCACGGAACCTTCGTACTATGGCAACCGGAGAAAGCCTCCACTTGACTCATCTGGTCCTGTCTCGGAAGCCAGAGCCTGGACATCGTTCCGCGACGTTGACAAGGAGATGGTTAAGAAAACAGCTGCCATAAAGGCAGAGGAAGAAGCTAGAGCACAAGCTGCTGTCGATGAGGACAAAGGAAAAGCTGCTCGCGATGATGATAAGCGGGTTGAGGCTGTCCACACCATGGCCATGCCGACTTTGGTGCCCACTCCCATCAACGAGGTTCCGGACGAGCTGCAAATGTACAGAGGTCCTTCTGCTGGCAAGAAGCGCAAAGGGGTGCATGGAAAATGCTTGACTGAGGAGATGCACAAACATAACGGTCTCTACTGTAGATGAGGCATTGAGGGAAGAGATAGGAAGCGAAGGACCGAGACGATAGCTTAGCTCTAGGCTAGTACTGTGTGCTTTAGCTCCACACAAATGATAAAAATGCCTCCCCTTGCCAATCCCGACGGAGTTGAATACAAGCAGAGCAATCTGGCAACGATTCAAGTCTTTCACACTGAGGTCGTGATCCTGCTGAGGGAGAACAGTCAAAGAGAGGAAGAAACATTTGCATTTTTGTATATCCACTCTTGACTCGTACACGAGCACAAGTAGCACAAGCTAGAAAAGACCCAGATAAGAGACCCCAAAACACACAATACCAGATCCCCCAAAACAGCCAAACACCCACCAGATCAACCAAGTCAGATAAACATAAACCAGACCGAAAGGAAGGAAGAAAGAGAAAAAATAAGAATAGGATGTAGGCATAGTTTCTAGGTGATGCGAAAGAGCAAGATCAAGCAAGCCTGTGATTCTCCTGGTCCTCGCTCCCAACATCACTGCCAACGTCTGTCCAGCTGCCTGGTGTCAAGACACCGTCAGGTTCGCTCTCCTCACCACTGTCCACGCTCTCTACCTCGCCGAAATCGATCAGACTCATCTCGCTAGCTGCCACACTGGCAGGTGCAGAGGCAAAGTCATCGGTAGTAGATGAAGCGGAGGAGAAGGAGATGGCGTCCCGCTCAACCTCTGGAGACGAGAAGGTGGCGGTAGTGGGTGTGTGTGGATGGTGAGGTGTTTGTGATTCTTGTTGGGTAGGAGCGGCAGCAGCTTCGTGGACAGGATCATAAGGTGGGATGACCATAGGAGCAGGGATTATCGCTGGCAGACGTGCCGTGACTCTAGGCGATACAGTGTACAGTTCCTCGTCAGTGTACTCGTAAGTAGGTATAGAGACCGGAGGGTCGGGAGTGAGATTGATAAGCTCCTCTTTCTGCTGCTCCTTCTGCCTCATCTTCTCGACATCGGCCAGACTGGCAGCGATAGCGGCGGCAAAGTCCTTGTCGCGCTGCTCCTGCTCCAAGGCGCGAGCTTGACGGGCGGCTTCTTCGCTTTCCGCTAGACTGATTGACATGGCGCGGGCCAGTTGTTCTTCGTANGCTGAGGTTGACAGGTCTGTAATCATCTGAACCAAGGACGGGAATTTGTCTAACCGAAGGCTCTTTTGTGTGACAGACAGCCTGCGGACCTTGTTTGTGTCTTCGATGGCGATCTTAGGCGGTACTGGAGGCTTCGGTGTTGGTGAGCGTGAGTCGAGGGTACCCGAGAGTTCGAACTCGTCGCCGAAAGGATTTGCGTAGCGAGATCCAGTGTTGAAGGCAGTCTCTACCACGTTGGCTTCTTGGACAGGTATGCTTCGAAGGGACTTGGGCTCGTCGGTGGGTACTGACGGGAGGTCAAGCGTCTTCTCGTTGAATTCCTCGCCTTCCTCTTGCGTGTTTTTCTCATCCGTCTTCAGGGAACCGTCGACGTTAACGAGCTGATCGAATGTTGGTGAGGGAGGTGTCTTGTCCGACAGTCCTGATGTGCTCCTTCTCATCTTCTGCTTCTCCTTTAGATCGAGCATCTCTTGATTTCTTTTGGCCAGATACTCTCTACCGAGCCGCCTCCTCTCCTCAGCTTCATCAGGACTCTGCGGCGTGAGGCTTGTCCTGTTTCGTCTAGTGATTGAGTCGTCCGTCGTCTCTCTACCAGTAGCTCTAGCGATAGCACTCGCTGTTCCCGCAGCTTCCTCGCGGGTTTGTGTTGGTAAGCGTCCCTCGTAGGCAAATGCTTCTGCCTCTCGTCTTGATTGTGGGTCCAGTTCGTCTCCAAAGGTGCGGAGGAACTCGGTGATCTTGCGTCGCTGTTCTTCCACCCATTCCTTGACTTGAGGGTTCTCATAAACTGCTATTCCAACAGCGGCAAGTATGGAGAGTGAAATCAAGATTCCTGTGACTTGTGTCAGATGTGTTGCATGGACGTGAGTGAAGCTGACAGAAGCATAATTTTATCATGAGACCACTCCGTTAAACAAGCATGGATAGTAGTAACGAAAACAGATTCATTGTAACGCAAGAAAGCACATGAGAAAATGGCACGACGAAAACAGAGAGTGTAGATCACATACCCTTGGCTAGTGGTGCGGGCATGTTGGTTGATTTGTCGTCGAAGTGGCGAGTTGCGACCGACTCGAGTCCTGCCTAAGAAGATACAAATTTCACAAAACCGAGACCCTGAGAGGAGGAGTGCACGAAATTACAGGCCTGGTTTCCAAAAATTCGAGGCAAGTGGGATGAGAAGAAGAAGTCCATGGCAAATAGGCAGCTACATAAGTGGAAGTCGAGCTATGCGCCACACCCTCGGTCGGACGCGGGGAGGCAAACTCAAAGTACTCGAGGGCAATGTGGCTGTGCAGATCGTCTATTTGAGTCCATTTGTGTCTAGAAAATCTATTGGAAATCGCACTGCGTATCTGAAGACGATAGAAAACATCGCTGTGAAAACAATCCAAACTCAAGCATGCTGGGATACAACATCGTTAAGGCGAGTGGTCCTCATACAGCTTCCTTAGTGCCTTCTTCTCCTTTGTGTCGTGACGGACACACCAGAGACTCCAGGCGATGCCCATAATACTGGCGACAAGTGTGATAGTGTATGCCTGCGAGTAGCAAGATTTGCCATCATTGCAAATGCGGTGGTGTCCGTCTGCCGAGCTCGAATGGCTGTCCAAGATGGCGCCATACGCCGTGTTGAAAATGTTACCCGAGATAACTGGCGACATCGTCATGGCACCCCAGTTGATTCCGAGCCCCGGGGCACCAAAGGCATCGGCAACAAGAGCAGGAAACACGCCAAACAGTGCGCCGTAGCCAAGCCCGGTAACACTTGACAGTAGATACAAGTGAGTAGGGTTTTCGATCGCAAGTCCAAAAACTTGGGCGATGGTGAATATCAGTGACGAGGCGACAAGCGACCAGTAACGAGACGAGTGGAGACGCTTGACCACAAAGTCCGATCCAATGCCAGAAGACAGTCTGCCAACGAAGGATCCAATCGAGAGAATACCGACATGCATCAATTGACGAGATTGAATGAAGTCGTGACTTGCGTTCTCATCGTAGTGGTGCCAGAGTGTTTTGGCNCTAGAAGTTCTATCAGTACTCACATATCATAATTCGGTCAGAGAGTCTCTCACATTATTCCCAATGTTGCTAGGAAGAGGTTAGCTATGCCATAGAAAATCAGGGTGGAGGAATACATACTTGATAGTCATCAAGCCGACTCCACATAATAAGCCAAGCAAAATAAACAAATTCCAAAACGAGGGGCTCTTTGCGAGTGCCCATCCTGTGATATCTTTCTTGTGTGAGCCTTGGGTCTGGGATGTCTGGGCCTCGTCCACAGGAGTTTCCTCAGCGCGCGAGACCAGAGGTGAAGTCTCATCTGCTTGGGCATCTTGAGTGCCTGGAGAGATGAGCCGGGTGCCATCTCAGGGTTGCAACGCAAGAGTAAAGCAAGAGAAAACGGGGACAGACAATGGGAGATGGAATGACTTACTGGGTTCACCCGGGAAACTCGATCTGCTTCCGTCTCTGCTGTGACGGGCTGATTGAAGGTCGTGAGAATTCTTCCTGATGCGTGGAGGGCGAGTCTCATCCTCAGTAGGCACGGCTTGGTAGGGAGAAGATGGAGGCATTAATCGCATGAAGAAGCTTCCCACAAATACCATGACAAAGGTACCAATGGCCAGCATCAGTAGGTAGTCTCCAGTATCATTGGGAAAGGCGAAGCTGCCAATCAAAGTAAAGACAAAGGCGCTGAGTCCAAAGCCACTCAAAGGGAAAGCGGTAGCAGTTCCTCTGTGATGAGGCCAGTTCGTGGCGGAAACTTTGATTGAACCAGCAAATGCACAACAACTTCCCATACCGGTCAGGAAACCAAAGAAACAGAGAGCAGGGAAGCTCATAGACCCGGGGCCCTTCTGATAGGCAGAGTATAGGGGGAAATAGCCGCATGCCAGCGAAAANGCGCCAATCAGAATAGCCCACCTGGGGCCTTTTGTGTCGATCAAGATGCCAAAAGGAATGCCCGAGGCGTACATGCCAATGTTACCAGCGCTACCCNNTAGGTATTTCTCAGCTGCAGCTCTTGCTATTACTCGTCGGCGGTCTCTCACGATAAGGTTGCTTTGGGTAGCGGATAATTTCATACGCTCGGCGTATTGAGGAGCCCATGCTGAATATGCATACTGGTTGGACNNGGTCAGGATGGCTTGGAGGATCTCGTAATCGTGAACTAACATTTGTTCCACTGTTGACAGTCAGATAAGATTGCTCGTTCATAGGGCTGTCCAAAGGAACAAGCAGTAGCAAACATACCAAGCAAGAGCTACGCCGGTAGCAGCAACAACGGAGACGATGCGCGACTTGTAGTGCGCATTCTCGTCGCGATCTTGCATAGCGTATGAGGATGGTACGATGTGATGCTAATCAAGCATATGCCGAGGTCAGAGGAGAGATAACGAAGATGGATGAATGTTCGATGTGGAGTCGAGTATGGTCGCAAGAGCGATGAATTGTGGCCGGAGAATTGATGGTCGAGACTGGAGAGACACAGGAGAAAAGGAAGGACAGAATGGAATCGATCACGACTTGTTGTCGTCGGCAGCAGCTCCTGGGAGGGAAGAAGGAGGCAGGCTGGCCTATCGCGGGCCCAAAGAGGAAAGAGCAATCGCCGCGTCATTGCCTTGTCCGTGAATTGCGCACCGATTGCCGGCCGACCGTTGCGACCCCAGACGTCGAGCGCGCTCAGGCACCACGGTCAAGACGACCTGGGACCCACTCTCCTCCAGACACGCTCCTTCGAGTCTCACACGAGTTCAAACACATCTTCGACACTGCTAGAATCGCCATGGGAGCCCTTCTGTCGCTGCCACTATTGGCCATCCCCTCGGTGGGCTCGGTAAGGCTTTCCTCAATCGCATCTTCTTGCGCCACCTTCAAGGCTGACATGGTATACTCGTACAGCNTCATGACCTTCGCCGCCAGCTGCTGTGGAGCGGCCACTTGCTCCGCCGTCTGCAGCGCTGCTGGAAAATGCAATAACAGTATGGCTACTCGTATCGCATACGCCGTCATTCTGCTACTCAACTCGCTCCTGTCATGGATCATGCTCACCGACTGGGCCGTCAAGAAACTCCAACATGTTCTGCTCGACTTCGCCACAATCTCCTGCAACGGCAAGGNNGCCTGCTATGGCTTCACTGCTGTTCACCGTATCAACTTTGCTCTCGGCTTCTTCCACTTCATCATGGCTCTGCTGCTTATTGGCGTCAAGAACACACGCGACAAGAGATCTGCTGTTCAGAACGGCTTCTGGGGACCCAAGTTGATCGCTTGGATCGGTCTCATTGTCATTTCCTTCTTGATTCCCGACGGCTTCTTCATCGTCTGGGGCAACTACGTCGCTCTGGTCGGTGCTGTCCTGTTCCTGCTTCTCGGTCTCGTTCTCTTGGTCGATCTGGCTCATAGTTGGGCCGAGTATTGTCTTGAGAAGGTCGAGAACACCGACTCTCAATTCTGGAAGTTGCTGTTGATCGGCTCTACCTTGACCATGTACCTTGGATCCATCGTCATGACCATCATCATGTACATCTTCTTCGCTGGTTCGGGATGCTCTATGAACCAGGCTGCCATCACCGTCAACCTGATCTGCTTGTTGATCGTTTCCGTCATCAGCGTTCACCCTTCGATCCAGGACTCTAACCCTCGTGCTGGTCTTGCTCAAGCCGCTCTTGTCTGCGTCTACTGCACCTACCTGACTTTGTCTGCTGTCGCCATGGAGCCCGATGACCATCAATGCAACCCTCTGGTCCGCGCTCGTGGCGCTCGCAGAACCACCGTCATTATGGGTGCCATCCTTACATTCTTGACCGTAGCCTACACCACAACTCGCGCTGCCACTTACGGTCTGGCCATGGGCACTGGCAAGCCTGGCGGCTACCATCAAGTTGGTGAAGGCGACCACGAGCATGGTCTTGTTGCCACACAGCCCTCATCTCGTCGCGAACTGCGTGCCGAGGCTCTTCGCGCTGCTGTAGAGTCCGGCTCTCTGCCTGCCTCGGCCCTGGATGATTCGGACGACGACAGCGATGATGACGACGAATACCCCGGCAAGCACCCTCGCGACGACGAGAAGAACGCGACCCAGTACAACTACACATTGTTCCACATCATCTTTNTGCTTTCCACAGCATGGGTTGCGACATTGCTGACACAAAACGTTGGTGGCGACTCGCTCATCGAAAAGGGCGATTTCGTGCCCGTGGGACGCACGTACTGGGCGTCGTGGGTCAAGATTGTCAGCTCATGGGTGTGCTACGGCATGTTTGGCTGGACACTTGTGGCGCCTGTCGTGCTCCCCGACCGCTTCGACTATTAGAAAGTGTGTTGCCGTGAGATTTGAAGAAGATACCCCCTGATTTTTTCTATTTTTATCCAATCGAGTCATCTATTGTACAACACCTCTGTTATGTTCTTGTAATCGATCTTCACTGGAGACCTGGGACGTTTCATTGCTTTGTAATACTATCAAAATTGAATTGGCTTCGTTATCGTAATTATTTGTTGTCTTGATGTGCTTCTGTTGAATTCCCTCCAGAATCATGCTGCTGTATTGCTCGTTGCAGCACCTTTGAGTGTCTCATATGGCGATGTGCTATGATGTAGTGTCATGTGGGTAGCCAGAAAGCACTTCTTTTTCTCTTGTGCTCATTCACAGCTGTGGTTTCTTGCAGCGACAGAGTCGTCAGTGGATCCTCGAGGAAGCGGTCTTGATACCAGAGAGAGTTGTGTCGAGTCGAAGGATGGAGTTTTGAAAAGCCGCTCGAAGAAGCTTAGTCGAGAAGACCAAACAGCCGTGGAGAGGTCGTTCGCACAGTCTTTGACACCTCCGTGTCCTTCTAGTACCTGTATCTAGTCGAGTAGTCCTTAGGACTAACCACCAAACCCCGTCCTTTCTTCGCACCCCTATAAATCGTCTCAATAATATCAATCAACTCCTGTTTATCCTCCAAGACCCAATTCAACTTATTGTTATTGCCAGTGCCAAAATCACACATCATGTGTTTGTTGCGGAAGAAAAACATGATGGTCATGGGATCGTAGAGTTCGTACATTTGGTTGAAGTCGGGGACTTGGTCGAGATCGCAGACGTAGACGACGGCAAAGTTTTTGACGCGGTCGGCGATGCGGTACAGCACTTCGTCTTGGCGCATGCAGTCTTTGTCCCAGTCGCGTCCGAAGCGGATGACCACTAGGCGGTCTTCTTCTGACATGATGGCTTGGTCGACGTGCCAGCCGCTGTTGAGATGGGGNAGGACGACGGAACCCATAGCGGTAGTGGATGGGAGGGTGGTGGGTTGTGGCTAGTTGGTTGATGCGATGGTTTGAAAGGGTTTGGGTAAGATGAGGGCGTGATGGCTTGGTGCGCCTTGTTTGAATATGCAAGTGCGCGGTCGGATTTGATACAGGTGTTGAGTGAAGACGAGCGAGAAGCGTAAGAGGCTTTCAAGGTGGGTGAGTAGATGTGTGGTAATGAGTCTACTTTGTGATTGTTGCCTGGTCGGAGTGAGGAGAAAGATGGAAGAATCCAGAATGACGATTTCCATACCAAAGAAAAGCTCAAGCTCCGACCACCAGGGTCTTTCACATGAAACCTTGACTGCAAAACACATTCACATCCAAGAATATCACAAAACTATAACACTGAATATGACAGAAGTGAATGCAAGCTTAATTAGTCGAACAGACCAAGATATATGCCGCCGCTTTTCATCGCCTCAAAAACATGGGACTTCTCGTCGCACAACTTTACTCGTCCTCGGCCTCCTCAACGCTAGCGGCCATGATTCGCTGCTTGGCCTGACCTTCTGCAACTTGTGCCCCTGATGTGCTTGTACCCTCGGCAGCAGGCTGCATAATGGGAGCTGAGATGTCCTCCTTGTGAACGTGTCCGTCATGACCGTGGCCGTCGTCGAGAATTTCTTGTACTCGCTCGCCCATTTCAGCAATCTTCTCACCACCTGCCTTCGCCAGGCGCTTAGCCTCTCTCTTTGCCTTCTTCTGCTCCTTCTTTGCCTTCTTGTCATCTGCAGTCTCCTGCCAGCCCCAAACTGGGCGGAACGAGTCGAAGAAGCCTACGTCCTCGAAGAGATTGGGGTATAGCCAGAGACCAGGAGGTACGGTGAACATGGTGACGAGGAAGAGAATCAATCTGAAGATGGCCATGGCGAAGAAGAGACCCAGCAGACCCAAGCAGCCCATTGAGAGGTACCACACGCCGATGCGCAACTTATAGGGCCAGACGGGGAAGAAGACGATGGCGAGAATTAGAGCGAGTGCACCAACGGCGTAGAGCTTAGTCTTCCACTGAGCACCCTCGTACAACCAGACGTAGTGGAACTCATCACGCGCCTCTTGCTGCTGCTCCACCTTGACGGTCCAGAGACCCTTGACACGCTTCTTCTTTTGCTCGGCTGGCTGTTCGACCTTTGACACGCGAAGAGCAAGGAGCGATAGAGGAAGCAGCTTGAATGTGTTTTCGGCACTTGCGCGGTCGGTAACGGGAGGGAGGAGGGGGTTCTTCGCGCGGGCTTTTTCGTAGGCGGGCGATTCGAGAGCACGGATTGCACGTTTGACTAGTGGCGTATGTTAGAGAATTTGCAGTGCAACAAGAAACAGTCTTCGATTACCTTTGAACATATCCTTGCGCTTCTCCTGGAAGACGCAAGTACGGACCTTAAGATCCTGGCTTTGAAGGAAGTTGGCAACAGCAATAGCCTCGGGTTTGGGAGGGCCAGGGGTGATGGGCTGCTGCTGCTGTTGTTGTTGCTGCATTTGCTGTTGTTGCATTTGCTGTTGTTGCATTTGTTGCTGGCGCATTTGCTGCTGTTGCATCATGTGTTGGCGCATGGCCTGAGCCTTGAGCTGCTCGACGTATTGTGGGACAGTCATGCCATTCTTTTGCGCCTCAATGGCCAGTTGACGCTGCATAGCTTGGATCTGCTCAGGAGTGGGTTGCTGGCCGGGTTGGAGTCCTGCAGGCATCAGGTTGATCTGTGGTTGACCGGGTTGTGGTTGGCCCTCTTGCTGCGGTGGCTGCTGCTGTTGCGGCGGTTCCTGAGGTGGTGCCGACATAGTGAAAGAGTAGTTCAAGGTTTGATATGAGTGAGACCAGGAAGAGTGCGTAAAGTTATCAGTGTATCAACCAGTGAGTGATTGATTGAGAAGGGCAGAAAGGTATAGAATCAGAAAGTCGCAAAGTCGGCCGTTGTCCTTCCCAGCAGTGGCTCCGTGTCATCAAGAGGCAGGCACCAAACCTGAGACGCTACCACTTTCCATCCCGCAAGCTTCGACTCACTTCCGCCGGGCCCGTGCACGCGACTACCTCTTCGGTTACAGCCGCAGCGTCTTCGCTTGGCGCACCTTTGCATTTTGTTCCAAAGTTGCAAACTTCTTCTCTTTCTCCCTTTGCGACGATCAACATTGACGACAAGATACCCTTTGGGCCCCCTTCAATTTTTTTCAAAAGAGACCGACTACCTTACGTACTAGCCATGCGTAAGTATCGTCCTTTGAACTGGCAGCTGCAAGAGCGCCTGGCTGATGTAAACCAATGTAGCTCCCAAGATGGACCCCAACGAGGTGAAGGTGATCCACCTTCGTGCCACCGGTGGTGAAGTCGGTGCCTCGTCCGCCCTCGCCCCCAAGATTGGTCCCCTCGGTCTCTCGCCCAAGAAGGTCGGTGAAGATATCGCCAAGGCCACTGGCGACTGGAAGGGTCTTCGCGTTACCGTGAAGCTCACCATCCAAAACCGTCAAGCCGCCGTCTCGGTCGTCNCCTCCGCCTCTTCGCTCGTCATCAAGGCCCTCAAGGAGCCTCCTCGTGACCGCAAGAAGGAGAAGAACATCAAGCACACCAAGTCTGTCCCTCTTGATGAGATCATCAACATCGCCCGCACCATGCGCTTCAAGTCCATGGCCAAGGACCTCAAGGGTACCGTCAAGGAGATCCTCGGAACTGCCTTCTCCACCGGCTGCCAGGTCGATGGCCGCAGCCCCAAGGACGTCTCCGACGACATTGAGTCCGGCGAGATCGAGAGTGAGTTTCGGACCCATCTACACAACTCTAGACATCTTGCTAACAACATCTGCAGTCCCTGAGGAGTAAATGTCTACTATGTAGCACTCTAACGGAATCTTTTACGCGCTCAAAAGTTTTGCGCTTTTTCTTCAGTGATGATACCCAACGATTTTTCTACCTTTTTCACATGGTGCCTCGTGCCTCCGTATCTCCTTTTCATTCTCTTCTCTCCCTCAACACTCAGTTTGCCAACACTCTGGACTTTACCCATATTTGCCGTGGTTCAGCCCTATTTTGGTGCAAACAAGACGTATCTTGTCCTACTACTCACCGGGATGCTTCCTCTTCGGAGCGTGGGCATACTGGTCCATGTTTAAGGTCAACATCTCTTCGCTTGTACACATATCCTAGCATAGCACAATCAAAACTATGCAGTCATGCTACCCTCAATCACCATGCAGTGATCTGCACCGCGTAACAATACCGCTGCTTGTACCTTCAGCCTCACGTACTCGCCATCGGGCGGCTACGTGCGAAAGGCTTTCCCCTGTGTCTCCATAATCTCCTACAGTCTTCTGATCTCGGTGAGTATTTTGATTGATAGTTGTCGGACCGCCAGTCGCTTTGGGCAAGGAGCATCAACACACTGCATTCAAAAGCGTGGGCACTTTAGTTGGTCTGACCCGCCTGTACGACACGAATTCCACCTAAGTACCAGCGCCAGGGATCATGCGTGATCATGCAAGCCACAAAGGCTCTAGTCTCGTCTATCAACATCACATTAACAAAGCAGGCCACGCTACATGAGCCAACCCAGTCGTTCCCCGATGCTGACAGGATAAGTAAGTTCGGCTTGAAACAGGCCAGCTTGCCGCAGAGTGGCAGGTTGAAACGCAAACCGGTCGACAGGATGTTGGACGTGTTCAGCAGCAACGCAATCTGCGACGGACCACGGTTTACAGTCCTCGGAGGCTTTAATCATGGAGCGCGAGTGCCACACGGGCCATTTCTGTTGGCTGGCGCATCCCACGCCGATCTCAAGCCCTGGGGCTCTGATTCGTGTCTTTCTCCATACAAAGACTCCACTGCAGCCGTATTCAAGACTTGCACATGCCCGCTCCCTGCCGAGCACGACCCGCCGCGCTGCTTCCTTCGTGTGTTTCTGAAGAAAGATTGCTGGCCCGTTGAACAGCACCTTTCCCTGCTTCTCTCCTTTTCCTTGTCAGTTCGGCCAGCAGGGAAGCAAGCGCCGCAGGTTAACTGGCTGTATCGACAGGCGGCGGGCAGCATCATTCCTCGTCCTTCGCTTCCGAACCACTCCCGTCCATCTTTATCTTGCGTGACATATCTGCACTCCTTCCCGGGTCCAGTCACACGTCTTTATTGCATGGGCCCCGTCGGTTGCCCGCATACATAATCTGCAGTTGTCCTCATCTGGGGATCATTTCCCTTTTCCTCTATCCTGGTGCTGGATATTCTGAATCCGCTCTGTCAGCTCCGAGTCGCTGTCTCGAACACGGCCCTGTCCAACCCTTGCATTCCCAGCTTAATCAACGCCTCTTTCCGCCCTCCGTTCTCTCGGATCATCTTTCTCTCACATCTGCATGTCGTATGTCGCTTTGAGTAATCGTTCGCTGCTACAAGAGTTATTGTTGGAACGTCGGTCAGAAGCCTCTCTGTGTTGTTGTACATGAATGGCAATGTCGTGCCTTAATTCGAATCCATTTCGCAAAGGCATAGGCACAGGTGCACTCCGGTGAAAGTCTCTCGAGGCACGCTGTGCTATCAGACATAATAACAACTCTCTACCTTCTTGGATATGGACGTCGCCATGTCGCCGCGGCCTCGGCCTCCAAATACTTCCACCTTTGACTACAACCACCATTACCACCACCGTCAATATCACGATGACTATTTCTCGTCCCGCTCACACACTGCTCGGTTTGCGCAGCCTCTCAGAAGTCCGTATGGTGGCTCGACACCACTGCCTATGTCCTCTGAAAACACGTTAAGGAGAAAAACACCGAACGGAACGCTCAACGGGGCATATGAAAGTAACAATCATGGGACACAGCCTACAAAGCACATGGTTATTCATCGACAAGACAGTATGCATCCTTACTGTCAGGCACCTCAAATGGCTCACATGGATTCTATAGTCAACCAGCAAGCGGTTCTTCCACCTCGATACATGAATCCAATGCCGCATCCTTTCTACGGTCAATCGGTCCCGAGCGTTATGCAGCCGTCCTTCCAATACTTGGGTCCTACTGCATCTGGCATAGATGGTCATGGTCTCTATGGCCCTTATTGGAATGATGGCACTTATGTCCCGTATCGTCCTGCCGCCGTCAGAGACCCTCGCTTTTACTCACAACATGACGGCCATTACCCAATGCATGGGTTTGTGAACCCCTGGAATGCTCCTGCGCCTGGTCTATCATATCCCGCTTCCGCTCATACATGGTCCGCACATGATAGTGGTATGCCCGTTGTGTATTCTTCGTTTGCAGATGTTCACAATGTTCCATATACGCCCGATTTCGTTCCCAACTTCGGCCCTGCGCCTACAAATGCGCGACAACGTGAGCAAGCATTCAACTGGGCCCTTCAGACTTATCGCGAGCTTCTTGTATACATTCAGCAAGTACGAAAGACGAATCGGCAATATAAATCACCCCATCCAGCGTCCTCTCCTGGTCCCAGATTCTATCCTAAACCTCCCAAATTCTCTGGTGCTCTCACGCCAACCAATGCTGCTGGCTCAATGAGCTCGCATGCCACTCAAATCAATATCTCAGCGCTGTATAATAATGGTTACCCGTACGGAACAGCTTCACATACCGTGTCCTCTTCAACACCATTGCCATCTCCTGGTGCTATTGTCTCGCCTCTGCACGACACATCTCCACCAGCCAGAGCGGCAAATGCCTTGGCTCTGATCACGAGACTCTGTGATGAAACATCATGGCAATGGACTGATGGTATACACCTAGCCGGATGCATCGCGTACGGGCTTGACCGTTACCAAAAGGCCGAAGACTTCTATCTCAAAGTCCTAGCTCTTGAACCACGGCACATCGAGGCCATGTCGAACCTAGCCGCAACTTTGGTAGCTCTTGAGCGGAAGAAAGAGGGTGAGGAGTACTGGATGAAGGTTGTGAAATTCGCGCCGAATTACTTCGAAGCAGTCGAGCATCTCGTAGGCCTCCTTTGCAGCACTTCTCGCGGGAAAGAAGCAATCAAGGTCATCGACTTCATCGAACGCTCATTACGGATCCCGAGAGCACACGAACCACACAAGACTACTGATCATCAAAGTGAGATGTCGTCCAATGCAAGTCGGTCACCATGCACATCCGAACACTCCGATCCAGCGATCTACGATTTCGAGTTGGATGGCGATTTCTCGCGTGACCCTCCGAGTCCTAAGGAACCTGGTTTCGGATCAAGCGGTTATGCCATCCCAGGCGCTGATAATGGTCGCATGCTTGCACTAGTTCATGCGAAAGGTAACATGCTCTATACCCTGGGCGACAATAACGGTGCTGCCAAAGCTTTTGAAGACGCTGTACTCATAGCAACGGGCCGCACGTTCTCCAGCGTCTCACAGCTTGTGAAACACATTTTGTCTGTCATCTCCGCCGCGAATGCCTCGAATGCTGGGCCTGCCGACCCCGTACTTCTCTACCCTGAGCAGGCTGCGAATACAGCTCGTCTATGCTTTCCGAATTATGGAGAATTAGCAGGATTGCGTAACGTACCCGCTTCGCCTTCTAGCCCTGCTAAAAGCGCTGCCGTTGCGATAGCGAGTAACTCTCTCCTCTCACTTGCCAAGATCTTCCAAGATGGCATGGGCAGAAATGTTCAAGGTGCGGGTGGGAAGCCCATGGTGTCTGGCGTGAGGGAAATCCTTGCGCTGTATTATCTCTCCTTGTCATTGCAGCCCAGTCCATCCACTGCCAACAATGTTGGCATTCTCTTGGCTGGCGTACAGCAGTCAGTTCAACCAGCTATAACTTTTCACAGCTCGCATGCCTTCAAACAGGACATTCCTGGTGTGCAGCCGGGAAGCGGCATTGCCCTCGCTCTGGCGTACTACAATCATGGTCTAATACTTGATTCAAGGCATGCTCATCTCTACACAAACTTGGGAAGTCTTCTCAAAGACATTGGCCAGCTTGATGCTGCTGTCGAAATGTACAGAAGAGCCATCCAATGTGACGGCAAATTTGATATAGCATTAGCGAACCTTGCCAACGCCGTCAAAGACAAGGGGAAGATTGGGGAAGCTATCGAGTACTACAAGCGTGCTGTCGACGTTAACCCCGAGTTTGCTGAAGCCGTTTGTGGTCTTGCCAATGCGTTGAACTCTGTCTGTTCGTGGCAGGCAAGAGGAGGCATTGCCGCCGATGGTGGTAAACGAGATCGCTGGCACGTGGATCAGAATGGTATGCTGCTCAGTGCGGCGCTGTCGAAGCCTTCTACTTCTGGATGGATCAATCGTGTCGTTGACATTGTTGTGAAACAGCTTGAAGAAGGTGAAAGTTGGGGCCGTGGTGTACTGACCACAGACATTATCGATTCTATGGTGCAGCAGATCACAACCTTCGATTACGGTACGCATGAGCTTAGTCAAGGTCTACGCCAGATCATCGCAAGCTGGGCTGGTCAGAAATGGGAAGGTGCGCGTCTCATCAAACTTGTTGAACGTCTGACAAGGCGCATCGGCTGGCACTGGTACCAAGACAAGTATGTGCGGAAGACANAAAGGTCTAGCTACCGCAGACCTCAGCTTCCTGCCAACCTCAATATTCCGAATGCACCTACCGTGCTGCCTTTTCACACATTCACCTGTCCGGTCTCGGCCAAACAGGTTCGCCTGATCTCGGAACGCAATGGATATCGCATCTCAGCTTTGACACTCCGCATGCCTTGGCTGCCCACTGATGTCTATCCTCCTCCAGCACCTCCATCCCCAAAGTTGAAAGTTGGGTATATCTCATCAGATTTTAACAACCACCCATTGGCCCACCTGATGCAATCTGTATTTGGCTTGCATGATAGGCAACGAGTTGAGGCGTTTTGTTATGCCACTACTGCTTCAGATAACTCACCTTACCGCCGCAAGATTGAAGAAGAGTCTCCCAACTTCTACAATGCTAGTAGTTGGACGACAGAACGCCTCATCAACCAAATCGTATCAGACGAGATACACATTCTTGTGAATCTCAACGGATATACTAGAGGTGCTCGTAATGAAGTTTTTGCCGCACGCCCAGCTCCCATACAAATGTCATTCATGGGATTTGCAGGTACTCTAGGAGCCGAGTGGTGCGACTATCTTCTTGCTGATGATACTGCCGTGCCGCCGTCTACACTCCGCCCGTGGCGACGGAATCTTGATGCAGAAGACCGGCTAATCCACGAAGCAGAAAGTGAGGAAGGTGATTGGGTATATGCCGAAAATCTTGTGTACTGCCGAGACACGTTCTTCTGCTGCGACCACAGGCAGAGTGCACCAGACTCCGAAGAACGCAGGTTGACCTGGGAAGAAGAGCAATCTCGACGCTGGACGATGAGAAAGGAAATATTCCCCTCGCTTGCCGATGATACAATAATCTTTGGCAACTTCAATCAGCTCTACAAGATAGAGCCGACCACCTTCCGCACTTGGCTTCGCATACTTTCCCAGGTTCCGAATAGTATCCTCTGGCTATTGCGGTTTCCTGATGTGGGAGAGGTGCATCTCAAACGCACCGCTGAGGCATGGGCGGGTCCCGCTGTGGCCGCTCGGATCATCTTCACAGATGTTGCGCCGAAACATCTGCACATCAGCCGCGCTCGAGTTTGCGATCTTTTCCTCGACACGCCAGAGTGTAATGCACATACCACTGCTGCCGATTGTTTGTGGAGCGGCACGCCTCTGCTGACTTTGCCGCGCTATGAGTATAAAATGTGTAGTCGCATGGCAGCCTCGATTCTCAAGGGTGCGCTGCCTAAAACGCCTGTCGATGTTCGTGAGGCTGCCGAGAAGGACTTGATCGCGTCTTCAGACACTGAGTACGAAGAGATGGCTATCCGACTAGGANAAGGGCTTGTATACCCAAAATCAGGCCCTGATCTCGGCAAAGGCACAGGTAGACTAGTTGAGCTTCGCAAAATCCTGACAGACTCAAGATGGACATCCGCGCTGTTTGACACTGCGCGATGGACTCGAGACCTCGAAGACGCGTACGACGAAGCTTGGAGACGATGGGTCAATGGTGAAGGAGGCGATATTTGGTTGAAAGACGTCCCTCGCGGAGGACGATTGGGTGCAAGGTTGTAGAAGCTGCAGACTAGGGGTTGTGACTTCCCTTTTCGCGTCTGCTTTTCTTTAATGTTTTTTATCATCGCTCTAAAGCGCTGGCGTTGCATAGGGTTTCCTTGGAGGTTTGGTGTGCACAATCGCACAAACAATTTACATTTGCTTCTTTCCCAAAGTCTTGATATACCGCGTTGCCGATTGTTAGTCTGTCGCCGTGTTGCCGCACTCTCTTGTCCCCAAGGTATCATGACTCTTTCCTCAGTCAGGCGCAAACACCGTGACGCGCCTGCAACTAGTCGTGCTTTCCAATCTGCCTTCTGATGCCTTGGACCTGCAATCCTTGTATCTCTTCCATCTCTCCGGTCTTTCGGTCAATGATCATCCGGCTCACGTCTCTTCCGACAGTTGTCTCTTCCAAATATCAATCTGTCATATCTGCGAAGGACTCGGCAAATGAGTTTGTCACTCTTCAAATCCCACTGTCTGAATCTCGCATCCCTCGCATTTTCGATATACGCGATTATCTTTTGAAGCATAACTTAGCGACAGGAGTGACTCTCCGTATGAACAAAGACACAGTCTATGCTTGGATGCCGTTTCCAACGTCCCATCGACTTTTTTTCGGCAGTTGTCCAAAAGGTGAAATCTTTTGTCAAATGCCAAAGTTTTGGTAAAATTGCCTTTTTGCTGTTCGTCAATTCACATTCTGGTTCCCAGATTGGGATGGTATAGCCTTGAATACGGTTTTCTCTTACTCGAGAATTTGGCTCTTGGGAACTGTTGTGTGGTCTAGATGTGTGTAGCTTTGTGGCTTTGGATCATTGCTTAATTCACTGTCTTGCAAGTTACAAGATCGAGAGTTAATCTTGAAAGCCAACAACTTTGAAGTCAGCAACCTTGGAGCTAACAAAGGTGTTTGAGGTTTGTGTCTCTTGGTCGCAGTGGTGCGCCTGAGGCAGAGCATGCTTCGGTCAAAACTGTACTGTAACTCCGTCTCTTGTTCCATTGGTATGATTTGTCGAGCAGATGTCTCAGAGGGCAAGTGCGATTGTCTCCCGGCAGTTTTCTCAGAGGTCCTTTCCCCCGACGTGTATATTTTTGTCTTTATTAAAGCTTTGAAGGTGTTCACTTATGGTTCGGGAGTCTGAACATGACATTTTTCAACTCGGATCAAGAAGTTGCGGAACACGGCCCGGCCGCCTGGGATTTCCTTCTCGAGGGGGGTTTTTTCTCTTTTTTCTATATGAAAGTTTCGGAGATCGAAAAACAAAACGACAAGCAAGACAAGAATCCCACTTCCAACTGTGACAACCAACGTTTGCAACCTTATATATTCTACTTTTGTCCTCAGGCGACTCGGACCGCCTTCCTCCGACTACTCGGGATTCCCATCAACCATCCGACCGACATGATTGATGATGGATGGATCAAAACCCTATATCTCTGCACGAATGCAAATCCCCATTTCTCCATTAGGCAAACCTTTACGAACGTGAAATGCTCCTCGAGAGTTTCTCATCCTTTCTTATCGAAAGCAAGAATAAGAGCGACGGAAGAAAAATGTGTCTCAAAGTATCACAGGGTCATAACTCCAACAAAAAGCAGTCGAAGGAAATTTTGGTGTTTGACGTTTTATTTTTAAAAGCTTATGAACCCTGTTTTTCGGCCCTACATGTCAAAGGCCACGAGGCAATTGAGTCAGAAGGGCAGTTCCGGGATCCGCCGGTACGAGTGTCTCTGTTGTTATATCGAAAGCCAAATGCTTCACATATCCTAATGTGTATACGAAAACCATGGGAGGGTGTGCATCCTTTGCATCCTAGGTGTCGGTGCCCGCGCATATCGAATGCGATTTTCTATGTCATCTGACATCCATGACTGTGTATGGTGTGCGAGACGATAGACCAAACGTGACCCTTCTTATCAAGTTGAGAGATAAGTTGTGGAACCTTTGTGCTGCAGATCTCTTGGTTGTCTTGCCAGCAATGGCAATCCTTGCGTGCGACCTCATCCTCTAGGTCACCGCGCATTTGACCGATGGTGGGCTGCTTTGCAAGAGTGTTCTTGGTAATAGACGTTGAGCGCTTGGGTGTTGCTATGTGATGATCGTGGGTGGCGAGAAACGTCTTTAGAGCTGGATGAGGTCGTGATGGACAGGGTCGCTTACAACCTATGAGTCATTGTATGATATGTGTCCGTCCAAGATTGAAGAGATGACATGATGCTTGTGTATTGGAGGGCGGCATGTTGCCTGGCCGAAGTGATCTGCTCCACTGCAAGCTGTAGTAGACATCTCAGATCGCACTGGAGGGTGTAAATCTGTGTAATGAAAGCCATTGCTATCCCTGCTGTTACCTTATGCATTCTGGAGATATTATACCTAGACGATATAGGTGGTTGTGGAGTTCAGCTGGCCTTGACAGAAGGTAATCGCGGAGCGACGTCGACCTGTCACTCACCCGGACATGTGCCTCTGTGCTACCTCAAGCGATAGAAAATACACGTAATTGCGTACTTTGAATCCTCTGTTGCAAAAAGGCAAGTTTTACCTAAATGATCGTGATATTCGCCATGCGAATCTGACTCGTCACCGTATGTCTCAGATCCAGAAATGTACCCAAGTACACCATGAGACTTGAGCTGAGCAGACGAAGTGTTGACACAGATGTGGAGTGCGCGAGAGCACGAAGGATGACGCTCGGTCTCTGCATGATCGTTTGTTCGGTCCCAGAGTTGCCGTTCGGTTGAGCCTGAACATAGATCTTCAAGTTCGGCCATGTCTTGAGGAGCGGTCAGGTAGAGCACCGACCTCAAAGGACCTAATTTTGGTCTATCTGGCATCTTTCATCATTGTTGAAGCTCGATCCAAGTTACTATAATGAGTGCTTGGCTGTTCAGACGCCGTGGGCGACTCAGCATTGTGCTGTGCAGTAGTGCGTTTGAGATGTCGACGCGTGCATGAGATAGCGGGATTTGGTCTGCAAGTGTTTGTCAACAAGACACATAACTTGACACGACGAGAAGACAAAGAACGCTCAGTGTATCACAGACTGTTTGGACACAGTGCTCAGTGAGAAGATAGACCGACCATTTGGACCGAAGAAGCTTAGGTGAATTCACGAGCAAGGTCATCATGACAACAGAACCGTACAGTCTTGATATCAAGAGATGTTGACATCCACTGACACCAGTGGCTTGTTGAACTAAATTATGCTTCGGTTTCGACTTTCTTACTGTCATACCTATGATACATGAGCATTTTCCTCTCCAACTGTGACCATGTGATCGTTCAATTGGCTTGACTGGACCGGATCAGGCTATCCGACCCGTCACATGTGCAGAGTATGAGAGACAAGGCTGTGGCGCTCAGACAATGTACTCACGACAGAGCATTGCTTGTTCGTACATTGCGCGTTGGACGCATCAATGGTCCAGCTCATGCAAAGCATAATTTACGATCTCAGTGGGCATCGACCAATCGATGCAACACAGTAAAGAATCGTTCGCTGCATGACGGAAAGCAAGACATAGAGGGAGCGGGAACCTAAGTCCAATCGTACGGAATGTAGGGCTGCATCGGTGCAAGAGATGGAGAAACTGCATACTCGCTCTTTCTCTGTTGTGGAGACACCAGAGGTGAATGGAAGAGACAAAAGTGATCGGCAAAAGTGCAGGTTGCACGGGCCCGTGGGTCTCCCCAGTGATTTGTGTTTCCTGCATGCAACTAACTCGTCGGAAACCGTGGACGCCGCAGAATCTGCAAAAACAATCCTGCAAAGCTGGCGAATGTACCGTCATAACCTCTTGCGATCACTGTCTGGTGGTGAGGGTGATGTTGAGATTGGATGTACAATTAGCACAGATCTGGAGCTGTCAGAATATCTCCGTGCCGTTGTCATCGGGCGGGCAAAACGGTCACCTTATCTCTGGAGTGGTAGGCCGTTTTCAATCGGGCATCCCCACGACCCTTGAACGCAGCGTGTTCGCAATGCGGTGCATGAGACAATAATGCCGCCATCAACTAATTACAGAGTATTCAACCAGCCACAAATCCTTGTCCTGCGAGAGGAAGATAGAGAGATCTTCCTGGATACTCAATTCGTCACAGCTATAGCGCGACTAGCCAAAATGGTATGTGTCTCCGCAAAAGGACGCAAGGATTAAGTGTGATAGACAGCTTAGCAGCGATCCAAGAATCCTTCTGCTCGTGGCTGCACCTCTAGCAGCTTGCAGGGACCCATAGAGCTGCACGCCCATGCTCACGCGTCTTGGAAACAATAGAATGTTCTAACATATCCTGGCATTACGTCCGTATGCATATTGCATTTCCATGTCCAAGACCGTGGGTCGGCATCTTATATTAAAAACGAATAAATGTGGGATACGACGTGATGGTGGTATGCGACCCACCATTGTCCCATTCGGTCATCGACTTTGGGAAAGGGAAGCAGACCTAGAGGTGTGTGTCCTAAAGCAGTATATGTACGGAACCGTGAAGATGCATAGCGAAGAACGTGGTGCTTTCATCTCCAGGAAAATGGTAACTGGTCCTGCGACATCTGACATCACGTCCTGGCTCACTGCCATGTGCTTCTAGTTGCGATGTTGGATGATCTTGAGACAGAAGATACCTGCTTGCGATGATCTCTACCTCTTGCGTGTGGTCATACTCGTTGATACGAGCGTGGCGGTGATATGGCTTGTTACGGACGTAAGGTCCTATAGCCTGATCCCAATCAGGACCGGGTATCTGCCAACTGCACCAACTGTCTCGAGAATGAGCGAATGATCGTCGCAAAAGAAACGGTCTGGGCACGATGTCGTGAGGAGGTGA